AAGCACCCCCAGACCGGGAGCTAGGGCGGGATTCCCCCGCTTGGTGAAGGCAGGCACATCCAGGCACTGCTGCGGCCCTCAGGGAGCGGCGCAGAGGAGGCCGTGGAGTCCCGTTAGTTGGGAAGGAATCTGGGCAGCCTGGTGTCGGCAGGAACAGCCCACCAGCCAGGACAGCGGCCCGGTTCCCTCACAGGCACAGCAACGCCCACCAGCCGGCCGGACTGAAGCGGCCGCGATGGAAGACGCTGGCTCAGCCACAAATTCAACCACGCCGCAAGGCAACACCGCGGGCACCCTGAGGAAACACAGAGACCTTGGCACGCACCGCGCTCTGCCGGAACAAAAGGGCAACACGGCCTTGCAACTGACCCAGCGCGCCCCTGCCCTCCGAGGGAGGGAGGCGAAACAAGAAGGAACCAGTTCCTCCACCCGCCCCTGAGAGGGAGGCGGGGAGAGAGGCGGGAGAGAAGGAGGTGGACTCCCCTTCCGCTGCAGCTGTAGCCGTGCGTGATGGCGAGTGGGGTGAGTGTCTGCGTTCCGCGGCGGGAAGGTCGCTCGGGGGCGGGCGGAGGGTCCCGCACCGGGCAGGATGAGGAGGGCGAGCCCTCCCTGCCCTGCCCTTGCTGCCGGGGGCTGGAGGCTGCCCGGGGCCAGGACCGCGGGCCGGGGTCACCGTGGCCGCCCCGGCCCCAGCGCTGGCGAGAGACGGGGCGCGGGGGTGTCCGAGCGTCTCCGCGCTCCAGGCGTGCGGCGGAGACGGTGCCGCTGCTTAGGCGTGGGAAGCTCCCGATGTGAGTATTTGCAGGATTGGGAAGGAAAACACGTGTTTTCTCCCCGCCGTGTCTTGTACTCGATTATTCATGCGGGTGTGAGGGCTGCGCTTCGGCCTCTCCTGGGTCACAGTGGTGGAGGAGCAAGCAAAGACCTTGAGTTGCGTGGTTTCCTGTGGGCTTCGGGTAGGTGCTACCGAATCGGCTGGAAAGAAGAAGTAAAATAAGACACTGCCTGCTCACAAAGCCATTGCCTGGCATGTTTGCTGCATTGCTGTAGGAAGAGCGCGATAGCCCAGACCTTCTGCCAATATTTCCCTGGGTTCTGCACAGGCGGTCAGTGCCTTGGGTCCGAGCAGGCTCCGTGGCCGCTCCTGGCCGGACCCTGCAGCTGCTCCAGCCTGGCTCTGGGTTTGGAGCAGCTTCTGTCACTGCCCAGAGCTCGGTTTCATCCCTACTGAGATAGCTGATTGTGTGCATAGCCACAAGCAAGCCAACAGCTGCATGCTCCACTGCTAGCATGGTAATAGAGGAAATGAAGAACTGCTGGAAGTTGATATTTTGTTTTTTATTTCGAGTCGTTGGCTTCAAGATTTTCAGCAAAGCAACAGCGGAAAGCTGTAAATATTAAGAGGGCAGAAGAATACGGAGCTTTCCTGGTACCCACTCTGAATAGTCCAGGGGCCTTTGTGGCTGTATGAACTGAATCAGAAATCACTATTTCAAAATGTGCTTCCAGATGTGTACTGTTAAGTTTTAGATTATCAGAATTTATCCTGTAAGGAGACTTTTTTTCTCCTCTCTGTCTTTGATTTTGTGTTTAACTAAGCTTGTAGAAATCAAATTTTAGGAATGTGCAGTGTCCCATGCAAAAACAAGGGATGACTTAATGAGGGGAGATAAGGGGATGGATTGAAAACTAGTAAATGATTTACTGATTGATGGCTCCTCTTGCACTTTGTGCTTTGAATTTACATTTTCTGGCAAAATCTTTGGTAGATTTAGAGATTATGATTGACTGCTCACACTGTGATTCCACAGTTAGTTACTATGGCACATTCTGTGCATTTTTGTAATATTTGCCCGGGTATTAAAAAGTAGGACAAGAAGATTTCATGGTTCTTGTTAGAGGTATTTCTAATTTAGACCACTGCTGGCTGTTGGAATAGGTACCTGTTTTCTGTTACAAAGCTTTTTGAGTCTGTAGTATTTATTTTACCAAATTTAAGCCAAGGTAAGTATCTTAAGTTCTGCTATTACAGGTACAGTGATAGCTGTAGTTAAGGATTTTAAGGATAGCTGATAGTTAAGAATTTTAACTGGCTCTGGCAAAGCCTGGTATTGTTTATTGTACAGAAATACTACAGAAAGGCATGGACTAGCCTTTTTTCTCCTGATCACAGGTGATGAATCAGACCTGGCAAGCTCAGTAGGTGGTCTTGGCACTGTTATTTCTTCCAGCAAGTGAAATTTCAAAAAGACTGAGTGACTGTATTTCTGATCTTGGAAATTTACATTCTCTTTCTTTCAAGCATTCCTGGGAACACCACAGCTATTTTGAACACACAAAATGTCATGTTCTTCCGTTAATTTATATTTCTAATAGCAATGGCTTAGACCTTGTCATCTTCATGAAATCGACCTCTGAGGGTTATCCAGATGCTTATCCTGAAGCTGCTCTAGAGTGTATGGCAATAATGCCTGCTGATTTCTCAGTCATTTGTTGTATGTACTTGTTAATAGGGTTTACAGATCCAGAAATCCTGCTCTTTCATCCAGGCTCTGCACCGTTGGGACTGAAAAGCTTCCCAGGATATTTAGGTGTGGTTGCAGAGCAGGATTTGCCATGGCCCTGAGAGCAGTGAATGAAGATTTGCTCACATGGATCCCTGAGGCCACTGCAGAGGTGTTAGAGCTCTATAGCAAAGTCCCTCTGGTCCCTCTGCATCACTGGGGGGCTCTGCATGTCAGCTGCACACACATATCTCCTTGCCAGAATCCTACTTGGAAACCGTCCTGATAAGGAACAGGAAAATCACTCTTGATGTGGGTCTCCACAGTTTCCTTTCTGAATTTTCCAACTTCAAACACTGTGTTTAATGAACATATCTGAAACGAATGGCAGTCTTTGATTTTTAAACCACTATTTTTATTATGCAGCCCTTCCATTCATGTTGCTCACTTCACTGCAGCGTGTCTCCCAAGCACTCCCAGGCCTATTATATTTTTTACTTAGTAAGAGAATGACATACAGATTTCAGATCTTGGCTTGCTCGTTACTGTTTAGCTTCCCAAAGGCAAATGTGGGGCAATTAAACCTTTGTGTTGAAATTATGAATTTCAGATCTGGGATTCTTTCCAAAAGCCAGTAAAAGAACTGCTTTTATTTTCTCACTTGGCTGAACAAGAATTATTTTAAATGAACCATACAACAGATGTCCTCTTTTTTGTTGTTGTTGTTCTTGTCTTTTAGGTTATTAAATGCAAGGCTGCTGTTGCCTGGGAGGCAGGTAAACCTCTCTCTATTGAGGAGGTGGAGGTTGCTCCACCAAAAGCTCATGAAGTTCGTATCAAGGTAATTACATCAATTCTTATCGATATATTTTCTATTTTAGGACACTGAGCATTAAAGATGAATAATTTGTTTGCCAACAGAAGAAATGTTGAATAGATATCATTAGTTCATTAGTATCTCAACTGGCTTTACAGAGAAGAAAATGACAGTATTTAGATCTTCTGTTTATGAAAAAGACTTTTAATTTCTACTAGTCTCACGTCACAGTCTGGTCTGAGGATAATGGCTAATCTTGAGGATCAGTTCCAATTGTTACAGACTAAGTTCCCTCAAAATGTCTGAACTGGGAATATCTTTATCTTGTTTGAAGGACAGTAGTTTGTCATTTGTGGCAGCTGTGTAACATGCAGGGTTTTACTTCAGTGAGGCCGTAAGTTACTGGCTACTGAGCTGGGATTGGTCTCTTGGATTCCCTATACCCAAGTTTCTGATTTCATCAGGAGCCTGTATCTGCCAAAAAGTATACAATAATGTGAAATTTATTTCTGTGGAAAGGATTTCTGTGTGGTTCTCAAGACTTAAGCCGGATTTATGCAGTACTGAGAGTTCTGCATGTTCTCTCTGGTAATTTTACGTCTGTCTTAACTTACTTCGAATCTGAGATGCTAAACTACTTTGAGATGACTTGGAGCACTGATTTCTAGCTATGGGAAAAAAACATGTCATCTTTTACCCCCTTCAGTGTCACATTTTGGTTGATGGAAATTATAAAAATGTACTGTCATGACTTTGCTTTTTCAAAGTAAGAAAAACTGCCTTTCCAGGAATTGAAAGTATGTTGCCCATATCCCAAATGCTGCCAAAACTTTGACCTAGCAATTGTTCTGAATTTCTGGCCAAAGGGGAATTACTTAGATCTGTGCTACTATTCTGTTCTTCAGAGTGTCTCAGATTATATATTTCTTCACAGATAGTTGCCACTGCTGTCTGTCACACTGATGCCTATACTCTGAGTGGTGCTGATCCTGAAGGATGTTTCCCTGTGATCCTGGGACATGAAGGAGCAGGGATTGTAGAGAGTGTTGGGGAAGGCGTAACAAAAGTAAAGAAGGGTAAGAAAATACCTTACAAGTTTCCTGCCTTCTTTGAAAGTGTTACTTTATTTGAAGGCCAGCTCTCAAATTGGGTCATGAAATGCCATATTGCAGGAGTTAATACAGTATTTTATTCTGGGGTGTATGCTTCTGTAGATTTCTGTGGTCTGTGAGACACAACATTAATATATTCAATGAGCTCTTGATTTAAAGCTTGAAAGAGCCCAGAATAGCGGTTTTTTTACTTGAAATCAGATCAGTGTATAGTTAGAAGATGGCTGGGGGTTTATTATTTTTTCAAATTATAGTTTTTATCTGTTGGTTTAATTAAAAGGCTTAAAGTGTTCAGTCATGTTGTTCACTGTTGTTTTGTTTTACAGTAACATTGCTACTTGTTCTGGGATGATGAATTTCAGATGGGCTGTCTGCTCAGCCAAGATTAAAGTGGTTTATCTAGCAGTCTATAATACTACCATATACCATACACAGTTTTTAGTACATAGAGGTTTTAAGTGAACTCAAGCTCACAGAAAAACATGGAGAATCAAGTAACTTCATTTTTTTTTTTTTAGAATGCCTTGCTTGACTCGATAACTAGACACAGAATTATTTTTTTCTTAGGGGACACTGTTATCCCTCTATACATTCCTCAGTGTGGAGAGTGCAAGTTCTGTAAGAATCCTAAAACAAACCTGTGCCAGAAGATAAGGTCTGTACGACTTTGACACAAACTATAGTATTTGTTCAATGTATACTTGCTAGTATACTTGTAGTTAGCAAAAGTAATTGACAGAAGTTTTCTTTGAAGAATAAATCTGTTGATGCATCATTTAATGACTTGGAAAGTAGGTGTTTCAGGGGTCACTTAAGCAATTTTTTCCACTCTTTCCTTAAAATTCCTATTCTTCCCTTAAATAAAATTATATCTCTCTTTTCATGTATGTGAAGGTGCAAACTACTATCTTGTGTCCATGTTTTTTTATGGAAAACATAAATGTTCTGACTGCCTATTTAATCCATACTTAAGGGAAGCACTTCAGGGAATTTAGCTCTTGGGAGTGAACACCAATGCTTTCAAGCGGTACAAAATGATACAGACAGCTCTTTCTTTCCTTAACACCTGCTTCCCAGATAAATTTGCAGCTCCTGTTCTGAAAAAAATTCTCCCAAACTCAAAAAAACACCCCAGTGACATAACTGACAGGTGCTACTCAAGAGGAGGGTACTGAAAGAGGCCAAGACAGTGGTGTTGTACTGTGGCACAAGCAGTTAGCATTGCTAACTAACAACGTCAGCATGTGAATAAACTCCATTTCTTTCAGTTTTTCCTTGGAGGAAGATTAACTGCATGAAGTTTTAGGAGTTTAGCATTTCCCTTCTGTGAACTCCTAGGTTTATTGAAATGGTCAAAATATAAAGGTGCAAGTAAGCAGCTGCCTCTCTGTGCTGCTTAGTAGATTCTGTCTGGTGAGAATATTTGCTGCTTAAATCGCTGACTGCACTCTCCTGTCTTTGCCTCAAGAATTACTCAAGGGAAAGGAGTCATGCCTGATGGTACCAGCAGATTCACCTGCAAGGGAAAGCAGATTTACCACTTCATGGGGACCAGCACCTTCTCTGAGTACACTGTGGTGGCTGATATCTCTGTAGCCAAGATAGATGCTGCAGCACCTCTGGATAAAGTGTGCCTGCTGGGCTGTGGCATCTCCACGGGCTATGGGGCTGCTGTCAACACTGCTAAGGTAAAGGCTGGGCTTGTGGCACAGCTTAGTGACTATGTTAGGACTGTAAATGTGATGTACCAAATCTGTGTTTCTTCTTCCTCTTCAACTAATGAAGTTTAGCTAAGAATTTCTAACTTCCTCATACGAGGCCAGATCAGGTTAGAAGAATCCTGAACCCTTTGGAGGAAATTCAGGTGGAGTATTCATAGCTTTTTGGTAGCAGCTATGTATCAATTACTTTTCCAGTTCATGTTCATCTTGCTACAAGTCATTCTGATAATCTGAAGCTCAGGGTGAGACAGAGGTGGTAGGTGAGTGGGCATGAGTCTTTGGGCAAAATAAAAAGCTTAGTACTTAAAGAGCTTTTTGGAGTAAATTTGTAAATAGTTTCCCTTATCTATTAGATCTCATAGCCATATATATTTGCTTCTATTTTTTCCTTTATCACAACCTCCTTAGCTTGCATTTCCTTTTCCCGTGGAAGGATGAATTTTTTTCTGCTGCTCATGACTCCTTTCTTATTCCTAGGTGGAGCCTGGCTCTACATGTGCAGTGTTTGGTTTGGGAGGAGTTGGGCTGGCAGTTATTATGGGCTGCAAAATAGCAGGAGCATCCCGGATCATTGGCATTGACATTAACAAGGATAAGTATGCCAAAGCCAAAGAGTTTGGAGCTACTGAGTGCATCAGCCCCCAAGACTCCAAGAAGCCCATCCAGGAGGTTCTGGTTGAGATGACTAATGGTGGTGTGGACTATTCATTTGAGTGCATCGGAAATGTTGGAGTCATGGTGAGTGTTGACCAACAGGAGCATGTACAAGGAGGGACCAGTTCAGCTAAACAGCAAGATCAGCTGCTTTCTTAACACAAAACATGCCAGACTCACTGATTTTTTTTTTAATAGTAATGATAACTGCAATGTCTAAAAAGGACAATTTACACTCAATCCTAATTATGTAATGAAAGCAGCTGATACTTCTTGGGTTGAAAATGGCACTTACAAATGTTTTTTCCTTAATCAGACTTTTTTGAGATCCTGAGTTTCTCTGTGCTGACAGTTGAAATTAAAAAAACTTACATAAAATATATTGTGCAATGAACAATAAAATCTCAGGGATCACTCAGTATTTCCCCAGTTTCTCAAGTAATTAATTTCATCTTTGGAAATGCAGAAGTATTACTAAATGTAAGACTAGATTTTCATGAATTACAGTAGCATTCCTAATTGTTGGTAATATGGTCTGTGAGTGACTTCTTTGAAAGCTAGATAGGATATAAAAAGTGCAAAGTGAACCTTTGAGAGTATAAGAGACTCTGAACCAATGGAAAATAAAATGTAATTTTCAGTGTATTTATTGTTCCTTAAATGCTGATGTGGTTTCATTAACTGGGGGAAAGGAAGCGCTGCCGGTCGAGGCAGTATAAACCTCAGCAATAAACACTCTGCTTTGTCCTGTCTGTCCATGAAGAGGGCTGCCCTGGAAGCCTGCCACAAAGGCTGGGGAGTCAGTGTGATAGTCGGTGTGGCTGCCTCTGGCCAGGAGATCTCCACACGGCCATTCCAGCTAGTAACTGGGCGGACATGGAAAGGGACCGCGTTTGGAGGTAACTCTCTCTTGCTATGGGGATAAAAATAACTTACTCTGGGCTAAAGCTGGGAAGAACACACCCTCTTGGTTTTGCTTGTGCAAGAAATGTACTATTAACAGGCTATTCATAAATGCTATGTTGGCTTTTAAGATAAAGACTCTTAAAAATCTGCTATTCCTACAGATAGGGTACAGATTAGCACAGTGGTGATATCTAACATATTTTGAAGGGAGAATATGTCTATATGCTACTCAGTACTAAAGGAGTGGGATAGGGAGACAGCTTTATCACCAAGTGAAGGTTTGGTTCAGTTTGATCTAGTGAAAAGACCTGGTCTTTGGGGAGATGGGAAGTGACATCAGTATAATTGTATTGCTTAACCACTAAGTAAATTGTGAGGCCAACATTACAATGTGCTATAAAAACCTTTAAAACAAAAAGGGAATAAGTGGTTGATACACATTTTCTGCTGTCAACTCAAAACCACATTGAGTTTTTTGGGGAATTCAGTAATTGCTGCAGTTGGAAGTATTCAGACTTTGAATTATTACACTGCTCTTTGTCCAAGCAATACAAAACTTACTGGGTTGGGTTATAAAGATATGTAGGGGGCCTGCTAGAGATGCCTTGTGTGTACTTTCCTAGGTGAAGGCTGCTGTTAATGTTGAATGCTGGAATAGCTAGTGAAAGATTTCTCATTAACACTTGTGTGTGTTTGGGTAATGTGTGCTTTTGCCAGACCTCCGTGGGAGGGACAAACATGTCACTCGTCTCTGTTCCTTTTCATATTGATCATACAAGTGCCTGTGTAAGGGCTGTGTTTTTAATTTTCTGAGATGGGTGGAAAAGGGAAAAAACAAGGCATGTTTTCCTTCTTTCAGGCTGGAAGAGTGTAGATAATGTACCGAAACTGGTGACTGAATACATGTCCAAAAAGATCAAGGTTGATGAATTTGTGACTCACACTCTGCCTTTTGACAAAATTAATGAGGCTTTTGAGCTGATGCATTCAGGAAAAAGGTAATGTTCACAATGTTGAAAGGTACACAAGACACTTATTGATCAGACAGTTAAAGTACAGGTTCCCTGCCCACTGTCTTGTTTTAAACAGGGAAGCTAAAGCGTGACATACACCACGTGCATTGATTCTGATATAAACACACTTCTCTGAACTTCCAGGCATGTGCCAAAACCCAGGCACACAGTAAAAAGCAACAGAGAAATACCCATAGATGTAAAGCTGATAAAAGGGGACAGGTCAGTCTCAGGCTTTCACCATTGCTAAAACATTCTTCCTTATAAAAAGGAATGTAAAGAAACTGAAGATTACATATTCAGTAATATTTAGGTTCCTCTGCAGATAGACAAATACTTATGAGCATTATCTCCAGAAACCAGCATGGTCTTTGTATTTGATCTCAATCTATATCAATTTATTGTATATAACTTTGGAGAAAGTACTAGCTTTATCTGCTTTAGCTCATATGGATTCTATTTTGGATAAATCAGTTGACTGTATTTGTTACAGTTGGAAACACTGCATTTATACAAATTTCATCCAGCAGTTTATCCCTGCCCCAATTATAAGCTTCAGTGCTTTTTTCATACATGACCATGTCCTAGGAAACTAATAATGAAAGCTACCTAACATTTTCCAAATAGACAAAAGTGAGAATGCCAGTAGATACTACTGCTCCTGATCAATCTCTGCTAGCTACTGAAAGCTGACACCTAGTTTGAAAAAACGTTCATTTGGAGTTTATTTTACTGGAGGAAAGCCAAAAAACCCCCCAAAGATAGCAAGCATTTTTAATACGATCTATAGGCATAAGCATGATTTCATTCTTACAAAAGACAGAAGATAAAATATGTCTCAGCAATGAAAGGGAGGGGAGAGACGGGGAGAAAATTGACTTCTTGGTAATTTTTTTTCTTTTTCATTTTAAGCATTCGAACTGTGCTAAAATTTTAGAGCCAAATGTGGACCTTCTCATTGGCCAGCACCATGCTGACTGCCTTTGTATAATGGAATTTTTGATAGAACATAGAATCAAGCAACTGAACACTCACGGGGACTAAGAAGACCATGTATTTTAGGGTGAGCATTCTGGGTATTAAATAATAATACACTGTTAACCACTGAATAGCATAACAGAATTAGTCCTGGTTATGGAACTTCTGTTTCTCTACTCATTCTTCAAATTCAATAGTGCCTAACTCAATCTACTTAATAAAAGCTTATTTCTAAACCCAGTGTTGGAATTATTTAGCATTAAGAATGACTGTGATTGCTGTGTCTTGTTTTCCTCTAGTGCTATTACACTGTGTATGTGACAGAGGAAGAGTGTTCTGCAGAGTCTACAGCAAATGATGTGGGATTGGCTGCACAAGGCAGAGCTAAGCACTGGGGTGAGAAGCAGCACGCATTTGTTGCAACTGTACTGAGAGAGGGGCCGGAACTTGTCAAGTTTCTGAGGCTATTCTAGGGCTACAGTGGATTGTAGCATCCAGCTCAGCCTTGAAGCCAAACGTAGAGCAGAGACTTTGGTGTCCAAGGGTACCCAGGTTCACTGGGGTGGTCCATGTTCTGCCTTATTTCTCACTGGTCTCTATGGCAGGCCTCTTGTAAAGATCAGGGCACAAACTCCTCTAGTCACTTGCTCAAGTAGAGTCCTCCAAGGCTTCAGTAGGACAGTTGCCCCATTTCCTTAACTTACTGGCAAATGAAGCAAACTTTGCAGCCAACACTGCAGAAATAAACAGCGTGGGATTGTTACCTCTAGTCAGAAATCTGATCATGCCATTGAAGCAGGAAATACTACTGTTAGAGCAAGTGTGCTCTTGAGGGCTGCAGGGGAACAGGAAAGAGCCTTGTCTGATGATGGCTTCAGGATTTTCTGGGATTTTTTTGTTGGAGGGGGAGGGTTTAAGTCTCAGTTTTGGAGCTGCAGGTTTTCTTAATTCTAGGTGAAATATTCTGACAGGATAGGGTTCTTTTTGTATCGAAACTTGGTATCAGTACCTCACATCCAGAAAAACATACAGAACTAGCAGAAAACAGACTGCAAAGCAGAGGCAGAAAGCCTAGCCAGTTAAAAAAAGTTAGATACAAAGAAACTCAGTGTTTTTCAGTGAACCAAAGATACTGATTAGGTGAGAAGTTTCATGTTTCAAAGAACCCTGGTCAAAACAACTTCTAACAGAAAATAGTGAATGCAAACAGTAATCTTATTAAAGATATTCCCTCTCACCACCACCAATTACTCTAAGCCACTGCTATACAACTGGGACAATTACATCTTTTCCATCTCTCATTAAAAAATATCTCCCAGAGCATTCTGAAAATAACGGAGGTACTGCATTTCTATGTCATTTCCGACAGTAAAGAATAAATGTGAATGTGTTAAAAATTCAATTTTGAGCATTAGGAGGAAATAAAAACTGAATGTGTACCAAGAAAGTGAGCCCTTTAGCCCAGCAACCAAGTGATTCTCAGTACCTTGTAGCTCCAGGATGGCTGGCTGAACATCAGAAAATCCAGTAGAAAACTTGCCGTTAAGCTGTTCCAATGAGAGTACTCCATAATTACAAGATGGTATCGATACAATACTAGCTAACCTGGCAAACCACCCCCCAGCTGGATCTGACAGATTTGAAATACTTCCACTGGAACAGCTGTTCCTCTATGCTGCACAGACTAGATCAAGACCACACAATCTTTTCTGCATTACCTTATTACTTCAGAGACTCTGCATCTCAGAGTGTTTGCAGGAAGCCAGTCTGTAATACCAACAACAAAGAAATGTAGTGATACCAGAGCACTTGGGTCAAAGACTTGCAGCTTCTTTCCAGGCTCAGGAATTGATGACCCAGCCACTACTTTGTCCTGCAAAGCTTTCGATTGAATGGAGCATGTTTGAAATAGGGTTTTTTGAAGCTGTTCAGCAAATAAAGGGACTCAAAAAATGAGAGCTTCTACCTGATTTTTGGCGATGAAGGTGCTGTATTGAACTGCACCATCCTGACAATGGTAAGAACTTCAGTGGACAAAAATTTTCCACCAAATCACTGTGCATGAAATGTGCATGTACTCTGCTGGCTGTCATATAAAACATGCAGGCTGGCCACTCTCCTCCTGCTGTAACTCTTACTCAGCATTATCTACCAAACCTTCTTTCCTTTAATATTCAAGCTGAAGAAATAGCATGAAGAATTTCCACACGGACTTACACAACAGTAAAGGGAAAATACATTAAGAGATTGATTTGGAATTAATTGCAGGATTGTGTTTTTGGTAAAAGTGTATACAATTGCTAAAACTATCATTAAAAAGTAGATTTAAGTTGGGATCTTTTATTTAAGTGGACAACAACTTATGTAAAAATCAAAAATAGTTAATTTCCACAATCCAGTCAGCACAAGTTTAGTACATCAAGTTCAAGCAAAGACACAGCTAGATAGGTGAAAAAATAGCTTTTCTCAATATTTTTATAAGTTTTGTTCTCAAGGCTGATGTGCTCACTCATGTTGAAAGATCTGGTGTAGATGCTAACTAAGCTTTCCACTCATTTAGAAATACTGCAGTAGTATGAACTCACTCTAAGCAGTTATGCTGTGATTTCAATTTGTAGGCAGAAATGCACGGCATCATAGATTACCTGCATTAAAAATGTGCTAAATTTGGTTGTATCAGTGCAACAATGAAGAGGTATCTAAATGGCACATGGGTGGGTTTAACTGGGTGCATGCATCTACCACTGGGGCTTGCACTACTGCAAGTAAACCTGGATGTAATTGAAGATTCTATGTCTGGGTTTGGATTACAAGACCAATAAAAGGTTATTTCTGTTAAAAGCAGCTGCAACTTTTATTTTATAGACCAAAAATGAAGCCCCCCACCCCCCGCATCATACACACTCACACATAGAAAAGGCAAGACCATTGTAACCATTCAAGTGAAGGATATGGTGGGCAAACCTCCAGGACAGGCATCTCCTCAACACAGCCCATTCAGCACAGGTAATCCCACTCAAGTACTACAGTCGGTTTTGCTAAAAATCTCTATACACACACACACACGCATACGCACGCACACGCACTCTCTGTGCATCGTTTCAGGTCTCTTTACTGCATAATTAAAACAAGAATAAAGGTAATGAGAACATCGCAGTGATGTTACAGCAACAGAGGTCTGAGGCACTCAGGGCAGAGAACACATTTTCTGGCAAATTTGGGAGTAGATGAGTCCAGTTCTGCGAAGCACTAATTCTTTGCCCCCACCTAAATCTGCAGTGCCAAAGGGAGCCAAGGGTATGCAGCACTTCATGTTCTTGGATCTGTGGCAACAAATTCACCAGACGTTTTGTAAGAGGTGTATTCTATGCCCATGATTGTATGATTTAATGCCTGTGTTGGTTTAAGTATTTCTTGCGTTTAGAGTGGTGTAAGACAAAGTCTACAATGGGGTCTGAAAAATTTTTCATTACAATCCAGAAGAAAAAATAAATTCCCTCAGCAGAGACACCAAAGATGATGGAAGAGAAATGGGCATGGAAAAAGAAAGGGTAGAGAGAAAAGAGGCTTAATCAATCCACACTCCTTAACATAACCATTTCCAGCTCACCATGACCCATTAACAAAATATAAAGGGGAATATATACCAACATTGCCCACTCTATACCCGGTCTGAGGAAAAAAACCCAGTTTTCATAGCTGCCCCCCTAAGACTTTCCAAAAGCCTTAAACTCATTCAACCAAGAGGGAATGACCCGTTTAAAAATTACCAAAAGAAAATGAATACAATGTTGAATATGTTTCCTTTTCACACACTCAGACTTGTTTTGAGATACTTCACTGTAAGTTTTGCAAATCCAATCCCCCACAGCTACTGTGGATGTACTTCTAAAAAATGCCCCACAGTTAACACACGTAGGGATCCCATGAATCATGGGATGTTTTTGGTTCTTGTTTCATTCCTTTACCTAGGCAAGTCTGATACATCAGCTTCACCAAGCTTTTGGTGCAGGAGGCTGCCAGCAAGTACTGCTTCACGAAAAAGCAGCTTATTCCAGGGAGCTACATATAAGACAGACTTTGTTAACTTCCCATCCTATCAAATCTCCAGCAAGAGAAACAAGTCCTGCCATTAACACAGCGTGCCATCCACAGTGGCAATCACCACAGAAGCCACCAGCAGAGAGATGGGGGCAGAATTAAAGGTAGCCTGCTCTTGTAGGTGCATTTCTTTCTTCTGCCCCCTTCTCAACTGATAAACAAACAAGGCCCAGAACAGTATCTGCAGAAGCAAGAGCAAGTCTTTGGAATAAGAAATGCCTAAAATCTCAGGTGCCACTCACAAACCAAGAGTGACAGGGCACACTGAAATAGTGAAAAAACCCGGATCCCAAAATATCAAGTCCCAGTGGGAAAGTTTACCCAATGCTTTTCTAGCTAATATGGCAGCAACAGAAGCAATTGTGGGTCTAATTGGAAGAAAGCTGCTAAAGGGATAATTGAAGAAAAAAAGGAAAGTACAGTGTGAGTGTTGTAGGTAGGAGGAAAGCAGGAAATTCTTTAAATTCTTCTCTACTTTTGCAGACATTGGGTCAGGTTCTTCGAGATATTCCTCTTATCTACAATCACCAAGAACAAAGTAAATGGTGAAATCTTTCTATTCTGTACTCTTAAAAAATGCATAGTACAGGGGCAAAAAATATATATATATTTCTCTTTCTGATGCACCTGCTCAGTGTGGACTATCACTGGGTCATGAAGTGGGGGCGAATGCTGTCCAGGCGCCGGGTCAGGATCTCACAGCCTGTGTCCGTGACCAGCAGTGTGTGTTCAAACTGTGCCGAGCGCTTCCCGTCCCTCGTCACCGCAGTCCAACCGTCAGGCCAGGTCTCGTCCTGCCAGCCTCCTGAAAACAGAAAGCATCCCTTCTTGCCAGTCTTTAAATAACAGCTATCAGTCCCCCAAAGGGAAATGAAAAATCTATCAGCTCTACAGGATAGAACCAGCATCCTGTTCTATCACTACTTAAGTGCAAACAAGAGTAACCATTTTACTCTACTGCTCAATTGCTCACCTTCACAGATCATTGGTTCAATTGTAAATACGTGACCTGGCTTCATGACTCCAACTGCCTTGTTTTCTGCAATAAAATAAAACACTCAAGTTAGAAAAAAGAATACCATCTTAGTAAATGAACGAATCCACGTCCTAACAGAATGCAACAGAAACACAGTAAAGTCAGAAAAGCCCTTCTGAGATGATCTTTTCACTCCTCCATTTTTATATATAGGTAAGGACTTCCCTTAGTTCTTTCCTTCTCCCCACCTTCCAACACTGTAATACAAACTCAAGCAGCTTAAAATTCATTGCTGTCTTTCTCTCCAACAACTGGAATTTCAACTCTAGTTCTATAAAAACACTAAACAATTATAATACTGGAATTTCTACACACTTCTATAATGGAAAATCGTAATTAAAAAACAACAGAAGTAAGAAGCACCTAAGATACTCAGAGAAGGCTTGGAATCTACTAATTTGTTTGCACTGAGCCATTAGCTCCAATAAATTGCCAATATGTGACAGTAGTTAAGTAATCCCATGATTCCATTTATGAGAGACACACCACCCCCTCATTACCCTGGATAATGGGGTCATAGTAGTGTCAGAGTGGTAATGCTGTGTTCATTAGCTAATATAAAATATAGCAAAGCATTTCAGGCATCCAGGACAATAACACAAGAACTTTTTGACGTTAAATGCACCAAAAATGTTTATGTGGAGGCACATGAACTGAGAGACAGCACGATTCCAGGAGTGCAGTTTGACTGGAGAAAGGCTTCAGCTCATTTCCTCTGCCCTATTTCACCTGGAAGGACAGCACAGCTCGGATGTAACTGAGCCTGAGAGCTGGAACAAACTCCACAACTACACAGGAACCATTAGCTCCCAGCTACTTGGCTGCTGTAACAATTTGCATTTATTTTACACCCCCCTCCCATCTAACATCTTAACTGCGTAAATTTATTACACTACCTAAATCATGTAGAGTCTTTAAAAATCTCGGACATCAAGCTGTCGCAACAGCAACAGAACCTTTTTCTTAGAAAATGAGCTTTTTGCTTTTCAAACTCCTTTCATAGTAGGGTAGAAATAAGCAGCACTATTCTTTTTTCTCCAAGAGGCTTTAAGTCCCTCAGATCTTTCCACTTTGTATTTAAAAATACCTGAAAAAACACCCAGCATCTTTCTTTCTGGGAACAAACATATTTGCTCAATGAAAATAAAAATAAAATTCAAAGTTCCAAATAGCCAGGAAAGATAGACATTTCCTTTGTCTTGGATTTTAATTGGTATAAAAAGCTCTCCACCTCCAAAGAATCCATATTTTCTTCATTTTACACAACAAAAAGTGCATCCCAGGAATTGATACCCTTTTACCCTGCAATTAACAGATTTTCTCTGTTGTCAGAAAAAATAACTTAGGGAAATGATGACATGGAAAGTCACGAATTGCTAGACTATATTCTGTAACTGTAACATGTATTAAAGCTCATTAGGAGACGGGAAGATGGAGGCACCTGTCAGGTCTGAGGAAATAAGTGTCCTATTATCAGGGCAGCTTTACAGCTAAAGTGAATGTGAATTGTACATCACTGCTTTGTGATGTTTACTCAGCCCTTAGTTGTTCACTGGCACTTAACCTTCCATCCTTTGCCTCTGTAGATGTTGTTTCTTAGTCTTGCTGGAAAAATTTTTATGGGGCCATGGATATTTCCAAGAACTACCACTACTGGGGGAATGTTCATTCCTCCTCTGCCACACATTAGGATGAAGTTTCCAGAAATACCAAATCACAACACTCAAGTGATGAAAAGTGAAAGAAATAAGATCCAGATTCAGGCACAACACCCATCTATACTATTCAAAGAGCTTTTTATTTGCATCTGTAAATGGCAGGAAGGTTTTGCTTAGAACTTCTAAAGAGAGAAACATCTGGCAGCTCATGTCAGACAAGAATGTCTAAGGGAATTCAGGAAAAAACTTTGAGCACTTACCCAGTACTGATGAGAGCTAACACTAACCAATAGTGCAGGCAGATAATGCAAGCACAGGTTTATAAAGTATGCTGCAGTCCAGAGTTAAAAGAAACCAAAATTATTTCTCAAGTGCCAAAATGCCACCTTGATAGCTCAAATAAATTGGGTACATTCACTGCAAATCACTTCTTGTTTACAGGACAGCACAAAGAGAATGAATACTCACTGGCATAATGGGGCACGTTAGGAGCCGTATGGAAAAGCTTATGGATTCCATGCCCACAGTAGCTCCGAACCACTGAAAATCCATTTGCTTGAGCATGTTTCTGAATTATGTTCCCCAGTTCTCTGTACCGAACACCAGGTTTTACTGCAAAATTAAAGAGATACAGAAGGAAATGTAGAGAGCTTTCTTTCAACACAACTAACCATCAAACACCAACTCTGTAGCGCTCATGGCTTGTGTGTGTCCATCTTTTCCAGTATGCAGCTTCCTATGATCACTTAATCCACTGAGTATGCGAGTGCAGTAACTTGAGAGAGGGAGGAAACTGTCTCATATTAAATAAAAACCAATAGAGACAGAAGAAAACGTCTTTTTCACAAAAATACTACCTTCTTCCTTCCATGGATGCAAGTGCTCACATTAAAAGGATGTCGAAGTTTGAAATTAAAAAAAAAAGGACTTTCAAAGTACTTGGTGAGCTTTCACATCCTGAGCTGTAGTGCTTCTTGCAATAAATGCATGAATTGTATTTCAATATGCACGTATCCCTCTACTATGTGAAAAACGCATACAAAGGACCAATATTTAGAAAAACAAATAAAGGGAAAATGGTTATCTCTACTCTTAGACAAGATTCTCAGTGACAATGCTACAGCAAATATCCTATTCAGGTTTAACTTTTTTGACAATCCCTTTAGGAAGCCTTACAAGTTAAAGAGTCGGAAACACATGAAAATGGTGTGAAAAAATTCACTTTGAGCACTAGGACAAGGGAGAAATAATACCATAAAAGCAACAATGTTTAATCATTCAGCTAATGAAGACACATACCAAAAGCAACCTTGAGACCCTTAAAACAAAATATCAAAGCTTTTTCAAGACTTTTCCCAACTCTCTGAATATATGCTGTTCCTTCAGGAGCCAGATGTGTGGTTGTGTGGAGCCATCTTAAGCAGAACTCACATAAAGCTAAAACTTTATGTGAAGCAATCACTTAGTTAAATTCTCTGCTAATGTAAGCAACTACAACTGAAACCCCTAAGGTGAATTCACAGAAAATAACGAGAAACTTATATTACTGGAATATACATGCTTCTCCAAAAGTTAAAAAAGGACATGGTGGAGAAGGGATTAATCTGTTGGGTTTGTGCTAAATAGCTGAGAAGTATGGGCCTGACAGCACGTGCCACTGATTTCAATGGAGCAAGGAGCCCTCTGCTCCTCTCTCATACAGCCCTCCCAGCTGGAGCTCTGCTGCTCCAACACCAAGACATTAAGATGATTTCAAGAGAGGACAGGAGACCCCCTTTGAACAGCTGAGACACTTGCTGTCAGAATTCCTACTCATATGCAATGTCTAAAACCCTTTAAAACACATTACAGCATCTAAAAAGTTGGTAAAAGAGACTTACAGTGAGAATTTTAATCTCATTGTAACAAACACAGGGAAATTTCTGTCACAGTTTCTACATCAATGCCAGGATACAAAGGGTAAGACTTTGCTATAACACTTGCTATAAAAAAGTACAGGAAAAAAGATACACACTGTTCTGGTTTAGCTCTGAAAAACAAAGTGGTCATTTCACAGAAAGAACAGAACAGAAATCCCACATAAACAGGTAATCTCTATTCTTCACAGCTCAATCTGGAAGTATTTTCTTATTCACACAACAGATACACAAGACATCAATCCTATGGATTTTTATCTTTTCAGCTGCACTAGCTATCTCCAAATTATTAACCCAAGTTATGTTCATCTTAATTTCTTACATTTACATTTACTTTTGATTAAATGCAAGTTTAAAGCCTTACTATATAGCACTTCAATCTTTAGCCACCATGAAGTGATTCAATCATAATGAGGATTTTAAGAAGCTGCAGGGTATTAAAGATACAGATGGTACAAGTATTTCCAGGGACTTGAGAAATTCTTCTTTTGTTTTCTGAAGCTGAACATAACATTCTGCAGCTACCTTTCTATCTCATTGTATGTCTTGATGTAGCTGCCCAGAGGTTAATTAAGCAAGATAATTAAAGTTCTGTAGGTACTGGAGGATATGGATCTGTCTTATCAGGCACACTCCCATAGAAAATCAAGGACTCATAACTAGCTTTATGAAATAACCATCAGGTTTGGCAGGGCTAAAGAGATATGTTTAGGTGTATACACAGTGTTTTACCTTACCAGTTCACTGTGCAACAAATTATAAAAGTTGGGTTTTCCAAAACATACTTTCCTTGTTATATTCTCTGAGTTAGTCAGATCAAGGATGTCTGACTCATCAATGGTGAAAAAAAGGCTGTTTCCACATCAATATCATCTGTGGATCAGCTTAGCATCAAATAAATTTTGCTCATCAGCCCACATTTAAAAAGAAGTTGCAACCACCACTCAGAACTATGCCATTTGAAGAATCACTGCATTACACAACACCCACCATCAGCTGGTGACAACACACAAGTGCTTCCGTGTGCTGCACCAGAAGTCACTCCAAGCAGTGGCAATATGAGCAAGCATGTTTGAGAACTAAAACTTTGGTGCTTCAGGCATGTTTTACCTGCATCGATGGCTTGCATTAGGCACTCGTAAGTTGTCTGGACAAGCCTTCTGGCACCCTCGTCCACTTCTCCGACATAAAACGTCTCGTTCAGATCTCCGTGGTAGCCATTGCGATAGACAGTGATATCCACTGCAAGCAACAGCAGACATGGGAAATCAGCACTCTGCTCCTCAATGCCTGCCTCTTGATTTGTGAAAGAACATGTAAAAATGGGGGATTCGAAGTGTGAAGGGATTACTTCACAAGAATTCTGTATGAAAACACTTTCAGCAGAATCAATTCTTCTATGCTTATCCTGTAGATTCTATATAATAATTTATAAGTTAGTATTTCACTGGTGAACAGCTTGATTTAATGAAATAAAAGGGGGAGGGGGAGGAAAAAAAACCCCCAACAAGGCAACACAGACACAGTAAGCTAGCATTGGTTTTTTAGGTAAATGTAAAAATGGGGAAGAGAAGCTCTTTGCTCCATGACGATTTACCTGGTTAAAGTACTTTCTTAGAATTAATTCCAGCACTAATAGGGGGAATTTTAAAAGGTATGTAATCATAGTTGTGTATATCACGTTGTCTTGCTGTAGCAGAACGGGAACTTTTGTTTCTACGTCTTTATTAGTCAGCTGGTAGGCCTGATAGCTGCTAGATCACCAAACCCACTAGAAGAATTACTGTTCTGCTATTTATGAAGAAACCCACATTCAAATCCTCTCACAGGTAAACAGTCATGAAGGAAACTGTAATAAACAATAATACTTTAGGAATATTGTACATGAGCTGCTGAGAGACACCAGTACAATCTTGATAGGAAGATGTAGGAAAATACACTTTGGTGTCAACAACTAGACATCATTTGCTAGGACCTTCTGGATGACATGCTCCTGTGATTCAAAAAACCTGTTTTGGACTTTGGCATGGCTTCCAGGCTAAAAAAGTTTCAAATAAAGAAAAAGATGGACACTTCCTTTTAACTGTTCATTGGGTACACTCCCTCCAAGGTACCTTTTCTATCCTTTCTTGTAAACTGTTTTGGTCCTCCTTTTCAAGAGGCTTTTGAGCCACTACCGTACAGAAAGGAAGCCCCGTTCTTTCTCATGGTAACAAAGCAGAAGGCTCCAAGCTTGATCAAGTGCAGGAATGTGGACAAAGGTAAGACTAAAGCCTCTTACAGAACGTGTTCTCTAGGGCTGAGGTACAGCCTTGGCATCCAAATAGCAGAGGTAAGGCACCATGTAGATGAAGCCAACCATGTTGATTAGAAGGCTGGAGCACCTCTTCAATTAGAAAAAGCTGAGAGAATTCAGATTGTTCAGCCTGGAAAAGAAAAGGCTTTGGAATGATTTAATTGTGGCTTTCCAGCAGCTGAAAGGGAACCAAGAAGAAAGTACAAGTAGGGTCAGGACAAGGAGGAATGGATTCAAACTGAAGGACAGTAAGTTTTGATTAGATACTAAACAAAAATTCCTTATGGTGAGTAGTGAGGCACTGGAACAGGTTGTCCAGAGAAACTGTGGATGCCCCATCCCTGGAAACATTCAAGACTAGGCTGGATGGGGTTTTGGTTTATATTGAAAGTGTCCCTGCCCCACAGTACAAGGGTTGAAGCCAAATGATCTTTAAAATCCCTTTCAACCCAAACTATGATTCTATGAGCTGGGCTTCTTAGGTTGGACTCCAGCAATGCCTGAATAGCTGGCAATAATAAAGACCTGTGCAAAGGCATCATTATTGAAATTAAAATAAGACGAAGGAGCTTTGGCAGACATTGTTACATGCACCCTACAAGCTCAGAGCTTTCAACCAGACCATACCTTCCCTAAACAGGGGCAGCAATCACGAGACTTGTTCTGAAAAGGCTGGTACCCACAGCAGGGAAGTGTAGATTTACTAGCTGTTATTACAAGCTAATATGTATCAAATATCTGATAACCTAAAAAGATTACAACCTACTACTACAGGCAGGTCAAACCTTAGCAGAAGCTGTGTATTTATTTACAGTTAAGAGAAAAGCAAACCAATGCAATCAGCAAAGGTGCAAACATTTGTACAGAAAAAGCATAATTTAATTTTTACTGCCAAACTAAGAAGAAATTAAAGTTAAAACAAGATATGGTCAAATAATTTATAAAAGTATCTCTCACCACCCAAGAAGGCCTAAGTACTTTGAGTACTGAGAAGAAAAAGCAGCTGGTATTGTCAAGCTGTGAGATGCTCAAAAAAGATAACATTCACTTATACAATGCCTCCACATTTGGACCCTTTACAGTCATCATAATCATCATGAGCATAGCAAAATTGTAAGAATCTAGAGCCATCTAATCAAGAATTCACACGGAACTAAGCCAGTTGAATAATTCAATATACATTTTATTCACTATATACACACAGCCTGGAACAACTGAAATCTAGCCCACAAGTGGAATACTCAGGCACTATACTAGTGCACAGATCAGAGCAGAAGAATTACAAAGCTCTTAAAGTGGACTGTACTTTTGAAATTATTTTATTAATTAAATTAACTAAATTAAGTATGTAAAGAGCAGTAACCGGTAAAGGAGAAGAAAAGCTCCTCTTAAGAAGCTATTCCAATCATGCTGCCTGCTTCTGAAACCTCACCTTACTGCATGCTTTAAGTGCATAGAAGGTAAAAATGTTGAAAGTTGATTTTCACAGCAACTTACCATTAACAATATCTCCCTCCTGCAATGCTCTCCTGTCAGGAATTCCATGACAGATCACTTCATTCACTGATGTACAACACGACTTGGGGAAATTATAATAATTCAAAGGGGAAGGATAACAATTCCTTGCAATACAAGCCTAAATAGAGAAGATACAATTTACAGCAATAAGTTTTGTACAAAGAAAAAACACAGAAAAACCCATATGTGCAATAACTTTAAAGTAAGAATGAAAGGCTGAAAAGGAGTGACTCTTGAAAATAAGATTCTTAAAGTATTTCTTGGCAGTGTTTTGTTATGCCTTGCATTTTTTACCAGCAAGAAATTAAAGCTGCCAATTTTGTTTCTACTCATTTTCATTTTGACTGCAAATGCTGAGATATTCAGGTTTGAAACAAAGCATGGCAATATTTATTCAGTTTTAAGAAGTAATTTTCAATTACCACTTTTAAGCGCCCAGTCTGAGATTTTTGCAACACACACAAGCTAAACAAAATAATATTTAGCACTACTTTTCCCCCCAGCTTTAAAACCTCAAGCTACCTCTCTTGCACTGTAATAACTTTTTTGTATTTTTGCAAAACTGACACATTTCATATATATTTACACATACATACATACACACACATGCTTTGTGATATACTGAGCAAAGTACTGAAAAAATATTAACTTTTTAAATTTTTTAATACTGTTTTTAAAACTGCAAAATACCAATAAGAGATATCAGTCAGTATCAACAACCTGCCAAAGTTTCCATAAACTGCTGAGGAGGGGTAACTCCATGTTACTAGTTGTTCATATTATACATTATGCCTAAGCAAGTAGTTTGGTGTTTCATGCAGTTCAACAAAAGTCTCCAGCCTAATGAAAGTAGACAATCTTGGCTCAACAGCTGCAGATGCAGATAAAAAGAAAGCTCTCTAACAAAGTTAACTATACCAAAATTGTTTCCTTTCCCACAATGCACAGAAGTAGCCTCAAGTACCAGATTACATAGAAAATACAGCAAAGAAAAAAATTACACAGTTCAAATATCTATGGAAAGCTAAGGCAGGAAGATTCTTGAGCATATTTTTTAAACACTTCACTGGAATGTGGCTTTATTTTGTCAGACTGCATCAAACATCCTGTTTCAATTCTCTCTGAGGCACCTCAGCTCTGATTCCCAATCATAAAAAATTTAACTTTCTTCTCTATATGTCTTAACCAACCACAGAGAGTACATGAAGTCCACGGCTTACATATGGTGTTCTCCATGGAGCAAAAAGGGTTTAGAAGAAACAAAATAATATGATGTTAACTGAGAAAGCAAGTGAGGAAACTTAGAAGAAATCTGAAGCCAGAAATATGGAAGCAGCTGATACAGAGAGAGGCCCAGGACCTCCTAAATCACATTGAACCCACCATTGCACTATAGCACATTTCTGTCATCTGCACTACCCACCAGCTTCAAACTGGGAAACAGTTTGAATAAAGAAATGGAATTCGTGCAACAAAGAAAACCACACAGTAATCATTTAAAATTAAAGAGATAGAAAATAACACTTATAAACATCAGAAGACTAATAAAATAATCTTACTAAATGGACAGCATGATCAATTTCTTCAGTAGTTACTCCTGGTTTCACCATCATGGCAGCAACATCCAACACTTCTCTAGCAAGCTGCAAATGAAACAATTTAAAATTTAAAACATTTAAAATTGATCTATTGGCTTAATTTGATTTAAAATAGGCCAGGACTATTCTCTACAAGATTTGTCACCCATTTTTGACAGCTACACTGAGATCACCAGGAAAGCTGTGTGGAGTTGGGCCCTAGAAAGACTTTGAGATGTCTCCAGGTCATGTACTCAGCCACCTCTGTGAGAGTTGAACATACTCCAGTTAAGGTTTGGACCATATTTTTCTTGAATGCCATAATCTTAAATCAGACTACCTAAATACACTGCAAAGTTTGACTTTATGCACAAGGGAGTGATTACAATTGAACAGTTATTTTTGAAAAATTGTTAGGGATGGGGCTTTATTTTGCTTTTAGTTTTTACTTAGTACCAACTCCAGGAGAGGAAAAAGTTCTCATTTATGCACAATAAAACATATTCTTAACAGTAACGATGTGTCAGGCACAGATTGTCTTACTACAAATAACAAATGCGGGAAACAGATAAAAGTCATCCTTCTGCTTGCACAATACTTTACTGGGAATTGGGGTGAAAAGAAGAGAAAAAGGCAGACAATATCAAGCTTCCTGAACTATTTTTCAGTGCTCTAAAGTGGTTTGGAAGTTTGTACTCTCAAATGTGCTGTGACAAAGTGGTAAAATCATTATAGATTTTTTAAAGAATAAAATGGCACCTTGCAAGAAAAATCAAACCCCCCTTACCCTACACACTACTCGCATCCCTTCTATATCCTCAGATGACAGTATTTTTATTTGAGAGGTTCCTTTTAAAGCTTGTTCTGATTCAGACATTCCTGAAAAGAAAAAAGGGAGAGGATTAAAAAAAGAAAGAAAAAAACCCATGTTATATAGGGTGATGATTGCTATACATATCCAATTCCAGGAACTTCCTTAGCTTACTGAAGGCAATATAAGTACAGACTTTTTAATCATAGCCTAAAGAAAGAAACTCACCAAGCTATAGTATTATCATCATTACTCAGATTAAATGGAATTCATTAGCCTTCCACAGTACCATAAAATCTCATGTGCTCAGGAAGCCCATTCACTGACTGCATAAAACCATCATGTCCACTTAGTCCAAACACAACCTTAAATCCCAGGTTTACAAGGAAGTTTTTTTATTCACAGAAAAGCGTTTTTCAGCTGCTCTTAGAAAAATGATTAGTGAAAATTACATTCTAAAACAGTCATAAAGGGTTACACGTGCTTGGAAATATATCTGGTTAAACTACTGCAATAATCAGCTGACAAAACCACATAAATTCTTCCTACCAAATTCTGTGCAAACTCAGCTTTACAGATGAGTGACCCCCTAACATCTAGTATTTTATGTTGTTTAATATTTACACTCTTAAAAAATAACTATGAAACATCTTAAGATTAAAAAATAATGCTAACAGACTTTATAGCAGCATTTTGTGGAAATGCAAAGCCTCAATACTGGTGTAAAAAGGGGATAATACCAAAACAATCCAGTAGACAAGTAATTTTGAATGCATTCCCTCTGTCCAAAACCAGCTGGAACTCATACACCAGTTTTCTTTTGGGGGATGCATATTGCAAGGTTTTCTTGGTTTTGTTATAAAAGAACACATTTTCAACACATACGCTGATGCCACAGAGAATGGTTTCGCAGAATTCATCTGTCACAGTCAACTGATTGCTGTTTGTTACTAAATTAACAAGAGAACTAGAACTTGCATGTTTAAGATAAAAAAATCCCCAAAACCAAATTAACTTACTCTTAATTTTTGTACACCTTTGAAAGACAACCCATTACAAACTTTAGACTTGAAAAAAATACTTGCAACTATGATTTTTTAAAAAACATTAAATTACTGCGGGGAAGAAGTGAGAACAGATAGAAGAGGTTCCCTTCTCCAGTATCTTCTTGATCCTTTAAAGGCTTTTCCAATGCAAAGGAAAATAGAGAGCAAACATAACTCTCATAATTGTGATTTGTTTCATGTTACCTAGTGGGTGATCAGCATAATCCGGTCTCTGAATATAACTTGGCACAGGTCTTGTTGGTGTCTAAATAAATCACAGGCAAAGCTGGTTAGGTTGCAAGAACACTTATTATAGTCACAGAGTCACACAGCAAAATTAAATACTGTATGAAATATTTCATGTGAAATATGGCTAAGTCCATTTAGAAAAAGTTGCAAAGTATGTGAACAGTCCAAAAGTTCCAACTTGCATTCCCAAACATTCTGCTGTTGCCCCCTATTGCTATCATATTATACAACTTTTAACAGCCAACTGCACAGCTTTGTAAACATCCCATTTTATTGTCAGGTGAATCAAACTGGTTTTATAATGTGTTATATACCTTACTGTAGTGTTTTTTTTCTGCTACCTTTCAGACTGCAAGTGCACTGGCTCCAAATATATCCCCCTCTTCTCTTTAGCAAGATTGCTACTTCTGATCACCACCTTAGTCAAAATCCCTAATTTCATTTGCATCAGTCTCACAGCAGTCACAAGACAAAAAAAAACAATGTTCAGAGATAACACAACTAAATTACTTAGCCAGTGAAATATCCCAAACACCTTCTTCTCCAACAACACTAACAAACAAAGCATGGGCTCACACTCTCCTAATCTATTCTCTAATGAGCCTGTAACAGCCGATTAGAAAAGACAAATGTAAAGAAAATGCCATTACTGCTGTGAAAAAAAGCTTCAGCTTATTCCACATACAAACTTCTACCAATTTAAAAATACAGTTAAGTGTGTGTATAAGTGTGTGTGTGTATTTACATATATATATACAGCTGTATGTCATCATCTTCCAAACCCACCCTTCACAATCAAAGATGTTACTGACTTCTGTTGTTCATCATTTCAGTGCTGAAGGTAACTGTAACCTCTGTTCTTTCAACTGTTCACCAGTTCACTCACCGGGTTACTTTAAACCACTTACATAATATAATACAAAACAATTTATTTAAAATCTAAATTAATTCACCTGAGCTTTTCAGAAACAGACTGCTCCATAACTGGCGATGACAACAAACAGCTATGAGACACCATCTGAACTAGCAGTAGCTTTTTTTTGCAGAATAAAAGTCACAGTGTACATCCAAAAGGTATAAGCATAAATCTGTTACTGATGCTCACAGACACTCCCTTAATTATAAATACACCAGGAGATAGAACAAGTTAAACTAAAATGAACCACGATAAGGACAGCCATGCACATCCTTGCCATTGGGTTCAGATCAAGAAGCTCTCTCAGCTAAAATGTGGGAGGTCATCAGGTCAGGAGTGGTCCATTAGTTGCTACAGAACATAGCAGTGATGGAGTAGAGTGGCACCTCTTGCTTACCAGTGGGTAGTGTGGCCTGAGTTTCCCAGTGTATCGATAACCAGACCAGGGATTTGTGTTAACATCGCCTTCCAGGCTCCAGGAGGAAACTTCGCGCTTAGCTTTTTCATCTTCTGAAAAGACAAGGAAAACGGGAGAGAAAAGTTGCAGCAGCAAAATCGGTCTTACTAAAAATGAGAACTGTGGGGTCTAGAAAGTGACTTAGAAGTACCTAAGTCTAGACTTGAGTCTGTCTGGCATTTTATATAGTGATATATGAAAGCGTAAGTAGCAGTTATCACTTTGCATTGTCCATTCCAAATTCACATCGTTCCTACCTTACTCAATAGCAAACTAGGGAATGTCAGGACTGAATCCATAAAGGAAGTGTAGTAATTAAGTTGTTCTTCATTTGTAGTTTTATAATGCAGTTCATGTTTGCATTCCGGGGGGGGAAAAAAGCCTCTTTCTATAGAGGCACTCAGTATCTTCAATTAACACCCTTGCACTGCAGATGAATGCTCCTTTCTTGTGATATCCCTTAGCACCCAGTGACCAAAATGACCTGAGGTGGGAAGGAGGCCATCCAACCGTCAGGCTCAACACATGGAGGCTGCTACCCCTCCAGAGCTGATAAAGAGGGTGCAGGTCCCACTACTTCTGCAGTTCAGGACAAGCAGTGCTCACACCTTAGAAGAGGGTCTCAAGCTGCTAGAACTTCCCAGCTCTCTGAATCTTGTGAAATTCATGTCTGACTTCATTCACAAATAACACATTCTTATGAAAGCAAATTGAAGGTGTTTACATAAAGGATTGAAACAAGCAGATCCTGAGCAATACCAAAAGTAGAAGTATTTACTCAGAAACAGAAGGCAACGGTTAAGAAAGAACAGGGTAACATTAATCTTTAACTCAAAACTGGATAACTTGTTTGTTTTCTCTTTTTATATCTCAGAAGGATGAAGAGGTAGCAAAAGGTCTGCCACTGCAAGCCCTAACGTCAATTCCTCAGAGCCTCTGTGGCTGACATCTGAGCCATCTGCTCAAATGACATTCAGTTCAGATGAAATTGAGAAATAACAATTTAAAAGTCCAAAGCTTCACATATTCACACAAATTAAGAGGATACAGAATGCAAGTGTGAACTATTAGATCCCTACACCGGGAAGGGAGAAAGAAGGAAAATATCTGTTTTTCCTTCTGAAAGAAGGAAACTGTCTGTCCTACGCCAACCTATTTACCATTCAACATTTATCATGGAAAAAGAAGCTTTATTGGGTTTTAGGAAAGGAGGTAAATTATGTGAATTTCTGCCATATCACTTTTTAATTCTACCTCCCTTTCCAGCAGGGCTTAATAAAGATAGGCAGGGTGGTGGCAGGGAGGAGGCAAGGGGGCAGAACTGTCTGCCCTCTCTTTGGTTTTACACTTATGGGTTATTTTCACTACTCAGGTAAGGTAGAATCTACCAGTCTCCTGGTATTTCTGTGCCAGAGCTACCAGCTGTCTACCACTAAGGCACACAGACACCACCATGAACTGAACTCAGCAAAATCCTAGCTATGATACATCCTCTATCAGTGGCTGCACCATACACACACAAGCATTCTCCCTTTTTTCCAAAAATGTACAGAACAGCAGCACTCTGACTCACTTGTGTTCCAGCAAGTATCTAACCACAAAGACTTTGCAAGAACCTTTCCCACTGTACTGCCTTTGACTGCATCAGACATCAAGTGCTATAAAGGAACACTGCCTTACAACAGCCATTTATTTTTCTCCTTGCCCTTTCAGCACCACTCTGTGTTCATATATCTGGAAGTGTAGCTCAAGCAATAATTCACATAAAATAGATAAGTGAACAGAAACAAACACTTCAGTGAACCTCTGCCTCTGAAATTTTACACAGCACTTTAGATTGTTGAGAACTGGACAAAATTTCACACATGCGTCATCCAGTGCCAGGTATCTTGGAAAAAAAACCAGTGCTATTCCTAGACAGAGAAGCACAGAGCAGTTGAGGCTGGAAGGGACATCTGGAGGTCATCTGGTCCAATCCCCAGCTCAAGCAAGACCACCTAGACCTCACTGCACAGGGTAAAACCAATTCAAAGCAATATGAAAATGCATTTTAAAAAGTAATGTACTTACTTGCTTTCTTGTGTAATAACTTGTGAGTGGCCCAGCTTCCCTTAAAGCATTCCTAGAATTGCAAACAAAATGTATAAATACATATTTTAAGCAGTATTTACATGGACATATATGTCAACCTGACAAAATAGAGAAGCAAATGTATTTTAAAAGAAAGCTGAAAGACTGTTTTATTAACCCTTGTAGCAATATGCAGTAAATGCTACTGTAACTGCTAGTCTTAGCAATGGAAGATATTACATTCAAAAGTTTATGAACCAGAATAGGCAGAAAAAGCACAGCCAAACAGACAACACCCATGGAGTGAAATACACTGATATAATCCTATATATTATTGACCCCTTATCTCATTAGTGACATATTTTAATGAGTAACTAAACACCATAGACTCTGTTTCAGCCAAGCTGCAGCCACTATCTCTGTACCTGATTTTACAGTGCTGCAGTGAGCAGCAAGGTCCTCCCTTAACTCCTACAAGAAGCCATCTCCTTCTGCTAATTGCATCTCTCCTGCCTCCTGCTCCAGCACAGGAAAGCAACAGAGGCCAATTAGCACAATCACAGGGGAACCAATGAAGTAGACTAAAGGGCGTAAATGAGGGCTACTGAATGAAAATAGGAAATTGAAAAAAAAAAAAACCGAGAAAGTTGAAATGGAAATCAAGAAAAGAGTGAATGTGGAGGAGCTTGGTCTTTTCTCTTCTTCCCAAGCACAAATAGGGCAGTTCATGCAAGAAACAAAGAATCACCAAAGGGGCAGATGGAAATGGCTAGCAGCTGGAGAATAAAGAAGGACTAAGATGAAGAAAAGACATGAAAGAAAAGAGATTTAAGGAGAAAAGTCGCAGAAGGCAGCATTAAAGGTGATCCTTTTAGGTGCTAATTAGCAAATTACTTGGGTTTGTAGCAGAAATTCTAAATCAATGGCTATGTGCACTCAAAACACTCATTAGAAACTGCTAATTCTAATCATTGACAATTACAGCTGAATTTCTGAAGAAAGAGGCAGGAAGCAAACTGTTTTTCTTTTAAGGAAAAACAATACTAATGCTGAATCATCATTGTAAAACTACCATCCAGAGCCAACAACTGATTCAACCTAAAATATACAACACTCAACCAGCCCAAGGCAATAGATCTGCAAACGAAGCCCAGCTGGGAACATTCCACGCTTGCTTCAGGGTTGCTCTTGAGCACTCTGTCTGCTCCTGTTATCCACCTTCTCCCTCCTCCCTCACTAGGATTACAACCACTAGTTACCAAAGTATGCCCACAAACACGGAGTGCAGTGGTGCACAGTATGTTCCAAGAGACCCTGCTGTGTGTGTGTGTTGTCCCCCTGATAACCAGGACCAGTTGCTTGTTGCGTTCTGCCATCCCACACACCAGGAGTGACAGCACTGCCAAGAGCTCTGAAACTAACGCTTCCGATGACCAGGGAGAGCGTCACTCCTAACAGCAGCCCAAGGTTTTACTGTCACACTTATATTACCCACTGCACACACAGACCTTTGCACTGCTGGGGAGCTGGGAGAAAAGGAACAGGTTTTAACCGAGGCCTGCTTTAGGGAAAACTTAAAAAAAAAATCTAAAAACACTATTTCAAGGACACTGGAAGCACCAGTATGGTTTTAATCCCCTTTCAAGCACAAGGTCTTTGTTCTGAAGCATAAAAGAAGGATTACACAACTAAGGACTTACAGCAGCTACCAGGTCTGCAAACTTAGAATCCACTTTTTTGAATATAAAGGAGTATTTGGGGAAGGAAGCCAAACGTCAGCTTTGGTAATTACTGATTGTAGTTCATTCTCTACTTTCCCATGAAGTTTTGGGGTATGTTCTCCAATGCCCTTGCTTTGTTCTACACCAACAGCCTTTCCTCTTTGCTGGCCCATAAGCAGAAAACATCAGGAAAACACAGGACCTGGTACAGTACCATAACCTGAGAGGCTCCATTTTGGCTTTTTATTTCCTGCAGCTATGGACAACCTAAGATGATTCTGCATAAGGCTGCCATATGCCTAAGTTTTTCCAAATATGTTTCCCAGATTTTACTTGCCATCTATCTCCAGAGGAGCAGTAGCTCTGCCAGAACTCCTGGGGCACAGTTCCAAAGCTGCTGTACCGTGAGACAACCCAGACACGTGCACATCCATCAACTGCAACAGGCACACAACAGTAAGTCCAAAGCATTTTTGTGAGCAGGGGCTGCTACAAGTGCAATGTACAATCAATTACTATCTCTGCCTTGGTCTGACACTTCTGGAAGTCCCTTAAAGGATATGCTGCAAATCCACCTACAGACCATCTATTTTGTGTAGGATCAACCATATGCTTCCTGCAAGCACTGGACTTAGACGGTACATACAAATTATTAATATTCAACAGTCTACTGCACAAGCACCACATTCACATGACTGCAGAGCTCTGCCTTGGCAATTTCACACAAAAATATGGCAGCTGTCATCTCACAGGTTGGAGAATCATAGCTCTGGCAACATAGCACTACCAAAGTACCATTGCACATTGCAAACATCTTCACCCTCTACACCACAGACTTCCCAACAAGCTATGGAAGAAACCTCCTCTTCCTCTCCAACTGGGCCACTTTCTGGAATATTTTCTTGAGAAAATTATGCTTTTCACTGAGCCTTCTCCTGAGACATCTACTTCAATCTTGCTATTACCATTCCTATCTCTTAACAATTCTTCTGTGTTCCTATGCCCCACCCAGGTCAGGATAGAAAATCAATGACTAAATAAACAAAGTCCAGAGAAAAACCATCCAGAGTGATTTTTAATATTAAAATGAAAAAAATATATTTTTTTCCAGATACAGTGAAAAAAGGAGCATGTTACACTGCATGGCTATATTTAAAAACATTAAATAGCTTCAAGGGGAAAGTACACAGGAACAAGGCTTCAAGTTTCTTGGAAGACTTCCTGGGTTTCATTTCAAGCCTTACATTATCCATTAGCATGCCTGATAATAATATCCCCACCCTTCTCACCTAAAGCATTTTTCCTTTCATTGCATGTGACTTTTACACCTCAATTAAGACAGATGTGGAAACACTGAAGAGGACTGTACAAGAAGAGAGGTCAAATGTATGACAAAAAAGCAAGCAGAGGGGTAATCCTTGACTTGTTTAGAGCAATCTTGGGTACAACTATTCTACATGTAAGGAAAATATAAATGTCTTCTTGTCAGAGGCTGTCAACATACTGAAACCTTTAACAACATTTCTAGCTTCAAGACATTCTCAAGCCAATCCCACTGGTTTTGTGTTTGGAGACAAGTTCAACCCAGTGTTCACCAGAATACATCAAAAGGTAACCAAAGGTATAACCAGTATTAACATTTGGAAAGATTCCGGTTGGACCCCCCTGTGGAAGCTGTGTTACTTCTGAAGATTATTTTTACCTTAAGGACTCACCCAATATCAATAGAATCATGCGGCATATAAGTATTTGTTTTATAGTATGGTACATTTTTACTATGAACACACTGATTATGACTAAATATCTTGAGGGTATTTTAAAATCAACCATTAAAAGAAAAAATCTTTAAAACAGTTATTGAAGTCATTAGAGAAAAAAATTTGTGTTATGTTTATTTTCATTTTTACAATAACAGAAAGCTTCTTATTCATTCAGTTCATGTATGCATACAGTCTGATTAAGAGGTGGGAAAGAACAGCCAACTGCAAATTCCAGAAGAGAAAAGGATGCTCAGTCAAGATTAGGATATTACTACATTACAAATCTCTGTATAGCAAAGATACAACAAAATAGATTTAAATAAGCTACCCAGAGACAGGGATGCCCCGTCCTTGGATGTGTTCACAGCCAGGATGAATGGGGCTCTGAACAACCTTGTCTAGTGGAAGGTGCCCCTGCCCATGGCAGGGGGTTGGAACTACATGGTCTTATTAAGGTCCTTTCCAAGCCAGGCCATTCTATGATATCCAAGCCCAGGAAGCTATGCAGGCACCACAGCACAGAATTTAAGGCCTGATGACAGACTGTGTTTCTGAACTGCCTTTGCATGGGAGCAGCTCATTTTAAGTCAGCTCTGACAACCCCTCCGTCAGCACTCCAACTCGTGTCCAACTTCCACAGAACTACCCCCTCCATCCTCTGCAGTCATCATTTAGAACCACTGTGATGAATTTCAAAAAAATACCTACTTTACAAAAAAAAAAAAAAAAAAAAAAAAAGTAGTTGGAATCAAGACTGTGAGGACAGACTGTGTCTTGGCATGTCATGATACCCTGAATTGCAATGGACGAACATCTAGGAAGTGGTGCCAAGCAGCACACTGTATTTAAAAATATTTTAAGCAATCTTTTTAACAGAATTTACAAGTGTCCTTTAGAATGTAAAACTGTCTGGGGCTTAATCTGAGACCATGCCATTTTGCATAATGAGAACTCATTTTTAACCAAACACCTTGAAGGTAAGCAAAACAGAAGACAAAAAATATCCCCTGAAGTACAGCATTTAGCTCAATACCAGGCTATCAGTTATATATATATATATATTAAACACAGTACAGATTACCTCACATTTTATCCGTAAATACAAATATGTTGAGGTGTTAATACATTTGATGTTAAATGAAACAGTTTATTTTTTTCAGCACGCTGAAATCCTTCTAGGGCAGTACAAGCCCACAGAGACAGTCTCTGGTCTGAAAAACTCTGTACAAAATTCCCAAACTAGCCTAAGCAGCATATGTGATTAGTCAGTTTTTCAGAAAACTCAAATATGTGTTTTCAGATTCAAGTCCAAGAGAAGTACCTACATGCAGAACCTTGGTATCAGCAGGGTTGATCAACTTTCTCCTTCATCTAAGACCTGATCTTATCCTGAGACTCCTGGGTCCCTCACGACTGAGCCCTTCCTTTGAGGAAGGGACTGCATTTTGCATCTCTTCAGATTTACAGAAATATACAACTGATTTTTGAGAGCAGTGAAGGAACAATGGACCAGAGGAATTCCAACTGGACTATCCTGTCAGTACATGGAACACTAGCTCAGCAAGTCTGTCTACAGGAGTCTGAAGTTTTACTCTCAGGAAATCATGAGGGCACAGCTTTTTTACCTCACCAATAATCAGACACATGTTTTCACGGTGAATTTATAGGCAATTGAGAATGTCAGCTTCCTGATGAAGGAAATCTGATTTTATAGAAGATGGTATCAGCTGAGTGCCATTTATGCCTGAGGAAACTCCTGTGTGCTGCAGTTGAATCCAAGCAGCTGGTTTCAGCCTATTTCAGGCACAAAGAACAGTGAACCAAAGATGAAACAGTGCACTGAAGTCCTATGGTCTGATGTAAGAGAAGACAAAAAACCATTTTCATCCAGGTTCATTGCTCCCTGCTCCCCATCCCCAACACATTGACAGTGAAAGGAAACAGCAAAGCAGGAGATGGGACAACAATCTTCTCTTCATGTCCAGAATTTTTCACTAATTACTGTGACCTTGACCATCCAAAGCTGTCCAGGGCCCAGGGCTGAGTGTCAGTGAAAATATGCCTTCTAGAAAGCAGTCAATTGTATATAAACTCACTGAGAGAACAAAACAGCATTTCTTTCCTATCACCAGAACTGAACAAGTCATACCCCACCTGAGATAGCAAGAGGTATCAAGAGATACTGGGAGGCACCCACCAGTGCAAGAGAGATGCTGCCCCTAACCGTACAGCTCAGAGCTACTGCTACCCCTTCAAACACCTAAAACACACATGGCAGAGTCACCACATAACCCCAGACCTCACTTCTGACTCCATAACCAGACCACTTCATACACCTGGGGCTGACAACACAAGAGCACACAAAACAGGAAGGGACAACACTTCTCCTCGAGTAAGTTACAACGACTACTATGATACAACCCATGGCCACCAGCTCTCAGAGACACAAAAATGGCAAAGGCCACTGACTTCAGAGTAAGAGAATGTTTCCAGTAAGTGCCTTCAAGCAGGTAATTCTGAATTACCTACTGGCTAGAGAGATGGCCCTGCACCAGCATCTAGCCACACCAGAGTAAACCTGCTCTTTTTTGTCCAACACTTATATAAGTAGTATTAAAGGGGAAGTTTTTCAAAAAAGCAACACAAAACCACTACTAAGTGATCCATTCACAATTAGAACGCTCCTATAAAAATGGTAACTAGAGATCTCAAGAACAGTCACTACTCTCCCTTTCTTTATCCTTCAGCCACTTGTAGAAGTCATAAAAGAAATGCAAATTGTCTACTTAAACACAAACTCTTCATGTATACTACACACAATGTACATACTAGTGACTGTGTCTGTAAGGCAGATTTCACAACAGCAAATTCATCTTAGCAAGAAAAATTTTACACTTGGGATGTGATGCTGGACATCTGTGTGATTTCCACATTCAGAAGATAGACTGAATTACTGTGTCTCACCACAAGATGATAAATACACACAACACTTCAGTAAGTCTCTAAAAAAAAGAAAACAAGACAGTGAAAAAAGGTAGCTGGTAGTGACAGTACTTGATTTACTAGCCTAAAATATCACTAAGGGTTAACAGCAGACAGAATCCCTCAGCAGAACAGCTCCTCTTGTTACACCTTGAAGTGAAAGGGGGGGAAAAAAGTGCCAGGGTTCAACACACCATCTCAAGAGCTCCTCTGCTGCTAAAAGCCATTTCTACCTTGTCTCCACGACCAGTTCAAAACCTCCCTGCTAGGCCAGAACCTGGCCACATGGCCTCGTTTCCATCCATGGCCACAAGCACAATTATTATTTAGCAGCTGTACCCAGTTTCCAAGGTGCCCAACAGCCAGAGAGTGTTAAGTGTTGGCTGAAGGAAACCTCAGAGAATGTCAAATTACTCCAGTGTAAGCATTTTCAGTGCATGTTGTTGAGGCATTTTTGATGTTTTGATGCAGAGAGGGAGAAAAAAATAAGTGACCAGAATAACGCCCTTTCTCCAGGAAAGGAGAAACACAAATGATAAATCCACTGGTAAATCATTGTCTTGATGCAACCTACTTGGAAAGTTCACTTCAATTCTCTATGTGCAGTCATGAAAAATAATTTTTAATCAATCTCCACACTACACTGGGATTCTCAGTCCTATACTTCCTATACCTTTCAATCCTATACCATTTTTTTCTTAGCAAATGATACGTTAGTAACTTATAATCCAAACACATGGCTTCACATGGTTACCTTCCTACAGCAGTTCACAATTTTCTGTTGTTTATTCTTAGCACTAGAGAAAATAAATTCCTATAAATTTGGTTTTAGTTCTGATTGGAGTATGAAGAAGTCATTGTAGGCTTCCAAGCAGATTAATTACCTGGTGTCCATGCCCGTACAGATGCTTTTACCTGTCAAGGAGACGCCAGATAGCTTGTGGCTCCCAATCCACACTCAGCCCAAAGGAAGTGCCCATACACCTGCCTAACAGCAGTTCATTCCATAAGGACAGGCTGACTTTATTGCTGGGCACAATTGGGCCACAGTGGGCAAGCCTGCTCTTCAGCAGCACTCTCCTGAAGTGTTTCATGACCCTGCAGTGCTAAACAAGCAAAAAAAACCCCCAAAAACTATTTATGCAACTACTTTTCCTCCATTTAAAAGAAAATTCTGAAGACCTCAGAAGTGGCTCGAGGAACCAGGGACAGCCTAAGGGAAAAGGGTAGTGTGCATCCTTAGAGGGAGGGAATAGCACCAAGCCAGCCTACAACACAGGCTGTGCAGTGAGGAATAACATCCTAGGTCCACTTACTAGCTTATCTAGGAGTTTTTTCTGCATGTATGACCAGAATGGAAAGAAAACCACAGAAGAGAGAATTCCAGAAAAGTTTCAGCAGTTAACTGCTGTCAGCTGAAACCTGCTGGAAGTTCACAGAAAATATCAGTTCTTCACCTGCCACATGCTTATCTGAAGAAGCAGCCAGGTTGTCACCAGCACCTCACCCACCCTCCTGACTGTGCCTGCAGACACCAGGGCAGAACTGCAGCAAGTGTCCTCCACAGCACACAGCGGGTGATGCAGAGAGCTGGAGCCTCAGGACAGCCTCGGCTGGAGCCTCAGCCCATGCTGGGCCCAACACAGGGTCCTAAGGGTCCTTGCTACAGGATGAACGTGGGGACTTTTCTCTCAGTGCATGACATTCTTGCACGTCTTTAAAACAGGCTGTCACTAATGTCCTTCTCTGTAACACCTCACCCCAAAACCTCCAAAGCACCTTCAGCGTGCTTACCCACATGCCTGATTGGGACAGCAATCCCAAGTGTTCCAAGAACACAGTCCCAAGTCACTCAGAAATGAGATGACTGGGATTCCCAGTTCACTATTTCATTTTCTAGGCAGGACAGCTTTATAAGCATGTAGTCAGTTATCCAGCAACCTATTTTAACAAGTCAGGAAGTATTTCCAGTAATTCCCCTTCTACCTAACAACAGCAGCAGATATTTCAAAATAATTAAACTCAGTATATAGAAAACAAGAATCTCTATATCCTAAATGGAATTAGCTGAGTTAGAGATGGGAAGGAGGGGAGTGAAGATGTAACTGGAACTCTTCACATTTGCCTGTTTGTTCTCTTAACAAATGGTTTTGTCATCACCAACTAATATTTGTATATACCAATGATGCATTTATGATGAGTTTTATATTAGACATGTCAAAACACACAATACACCACAGAGCAAATCCTAGAAATTAACCACAAGCACCACGCGGGAACCAGAGATACAGAACTGTCAGAACAATTCTGAGTTGCTCTAATCTGGCATCAGCTACCAGCATAGGGCACAGAGACTTCAGGGGAAAGTACCAAAAACCGTGCAATGCGTGTGTCACAAGCACGTGGGAAATTTTCCCCTAGTCCTATGCAAACCATAACTATCAGTTTACATCCTGACTCAGAAAAAAATTCTTCCCAATTAGTAAATTAATCTAGCAGATGTGACTGAATTATTTTCTTACATTCATGCACAAAAGTTCAAAGACTTTAGTCTGAATTACAGTTGTGACAAGGAAAGCCATTGTTAATCTCTGAACTAAACACACGTGCCCTCACTGATTTTGACAGAATTACACATACAAAAAGTTCAAAGGATTAGGTTATGTATTTCAAAGTTAATAAAAAAACCCAAACAAGCCCCACAAACAAAAATCACACTCAGCAGTCACCAGACAGTTCTATTGAAGGACCACTCTCTGTTACCACTGTGGCCTGTAGACCACGTTCAATTCTCACATTTTTACGTGGGAGCTGACTGCTATATGACATGTGGCCTAACCTGAACCTTCCGGTTTGACACCCTCAGAGCAGAACATCAAAGGACATAGTGGGGAAAAAAAAAGTTAGGAATGAAAAAGGAATCATTTAAAAAAAAAAAAAAAAGAAGAGTATCCAACAGTTTTCACAGAAACTCCTAACTTAAAGAAAATCTTTTTTCAGAGCAACAAGTCTCCCGGTGTCTATCAAAGCCGAGCAACTCCAGAGCTGACGCCGGCAGAGAAACGCACCCACAGGAATTTATGAGCACGTCCTCACTTTGTCCCACTAAACCTTTATTTTTAAGGGAGCACACGGATCACCCACACCTTCAGGCAGAGGAACATCCGTGTACACTCTCACAAACGCCCCGGCCGCACTTTAGTGCCGCTGAGGTCCCGCATCGCCCGCGGCCACGAGGAGAAATGGGGCTCCCGCCCCGCCCGGGGCCGCCAGCCTGGCTCCCCCGGCTGCAACACCCAAGGAACCGAGGGGGAACTTCGTGCGGGGTCCCTGGCCGGGCGCTGCTGCCCCAGGCCGGCCGGGAGCGGGCGGGCAGGGAGGCAGAGTCGGGAACGCCGGGCCGGGCCCGGGCGGCCGGGAGCCGGCGCGGGGAGCTGGATCCTGCGCTCGCCGCACGCCCGGAGTGCCGGGCGAGGGGCTGGGCCGCGGGGAACCTCACCTGGGAGCAGAAGTAGGAGCCCTGGATGCCCAGCTTGAGGCAGGTGGGGCACTGCAGCTTGGCCTCGCTGCTGCAGCCGGCGGTCTCGCAGACTCTGCGGGTCTCCACGGCCGCCGCCATGCTGCCGGGCGGCCACGGGGGAGGAGCCGCCGCCCGGAGCTGCCGCCGGCTGGGGCGGGCGGGGAGAGCAGGGCGGAGGGAGGGAGGGGGATAGGGGGGAGGCTCCGGGCACTCAGAGCCGCATCTCAGCCGGCCTTGAACGCTCCCAGCCATGGGGCCATCCGCAGCTTTCCTGGACGACGTGTGCCAGCGCCTCGCTACCTTCCCAGTAAAGAGGGTGTTCAGCCTATTCAGCCCAGAGAACTGAGGGGATCTCATAAATGTCTCAAAGGTGGGTGTCAAGAGGATGATGCCATACTCTTTTCAGTGGTGCCTCGTGACGGGGTGAGGAGTTAACGGCCATGAACTAAAGCACAAGAAGTTTCACCTCCACATGAGGAAGAACTTCTTTACACTGAGGGTGGCAGTGCACTGGAACAGCTGCTCACCAAGGTCATGGACTCTCCCTCTCTGGAGAGGTTCCAGACCCACCTGGATGCACTCCTGTGTCACCTCCTCTGGGTCACCCTGTGATGGCAAGGGGATTGGCCTGGATGATCTCCAGAGGTCCCCTCCAAACCTATTGATTCCGTGAAGAACTTCCCATACTTTTCATCTGTACAAGACATTTTTCAAGCATATCTTCTTTATTATGGAGAGTGGGCTGTGGCATGTAGGTCTGTCTGTGCGGTTTATAACAATTCTCTCGCTCTATTTTTAGCCCAGGTAAAACCATCACAAATTCAATATTCAGTACGGCAGTAACTAAAATTAGAAAAATAGGCTGCAGAGTCATGGTGGCATTGTCACATGAAGAATGCTGATTGTCTTCCTGGGAAGAGAAAGATTAGAAACCAATGATCTGTCATAAAAATAAATGTGATTAATGCACATATTGTATTTCTCCAACTTGCATGGGTTAGAGAGTGAAAAAAATTACTACCTGTGCCTGTAAAGATGGCTGTGCTTGTGTTCTCTGGGTATTGTCAAACCTAGTGTCAGTGTAGAATCATAGAATTGTTAAGGTTGGAAAAGACCTTTAAGATCATCAAGTCCAACCGTCAACATTGCATCACCACCATGTTTAGCACCAAACCACGTCCTCAAGTGCCATATCCACATTTTTTAAACACTTCTACCTAGGAAGTGACCACCACCTAGGTGGTGACTACCACCTCCCTGGGTAGCCTGTTCTAATGCTTTACAACCCTTTCCATGAAGAAAGTTTTCGTAATATCCAGTCTAAACCTCCCTTGGCACAACCTGAGACCATTTCCTCTTGTCCTGTCCCTTGTTGCCTGGGAGAAGAGACCAACCCCCATTTTGTTTACAACCTCCTTTTAGGCAATTTGTAGAGAAAAATAAATCCTCCCTGGGCCTCCTTTTTACCAGGCCAAACACCCCCAGCTCCCTGAGCTGCCTCTCACCAGAGCTGTGCTCCAGACCCTTCCCCAGTTCCGTTGCCCTTCTCTGTACACACATCATCACCTCAATGTCCTTCTTGTAGTGAGGGGCTCAGAACTGAACACAGGATTTGCAGTGCAGCCTCCACAGTATCTCAGAGGAATGATCGCTATCCTATGTACTAAAACATCTCTAACTTAATATCAGTGCAAGATGCTTTTTGCTGGTTAATGTCAACAAGCAGTTGCTTTTAAAAAGAGCATGGGGAGATGCCTATTGAGTGGGAGAATAGCTGCAAAACACTGCAGAGCATGTATCTGCAAGATCCAGCCATTAGTACTGAGATCCCACTCCTTGTTTAAATTTCAGATGTCTTCCCACTGCTGGCAAGTACAGACTGATTTCAGTTAAAACTTTGCGGGATGAGATTATGTCTGTCTTTCTACTTCAGTGCCATTAACTTCAATTAAGCTACACCAATCCTTATTCTTAGTACACAAAATATTCTCCTGATTTCCTGGCATCCAGATGACTCCCCAGAAAGTGTGATTCAAAATCTAAACTATAATCTCAGTATTTTCTGCAACTGTCTTATTCCCCGTGGTCTTCTGTCCCCATCTTTAATAAAGAATAAAAGAAGAATAATAATTTTTTTAAATCTTTATCTCCTAGGCTTAGAGGTTAGGTGAAAATTTCTGCTTTCCCAGAACAGAAAAGCATACATCCTATTTTTTCAGAATAAATGTATTCATATAAATCTACTTGATGCATTATGATAGTGTTAGTTGGCAAAAAGTGGCTAAGTAGCCCAGCTGACTATAGGACAAGGGCAACAGATAAAATGTATGATCCAGGTTTGCTGTATGATAAGCAGTTCCACTTAGCATGGCAAATTAACCAAAGGAATTTGATGCCATACTATTACTGAAGTGTTTGCAGGTGGACACCTGTGTTTCTGACAGTTCTCACCTTCATTTCTCCAGTACTGAGAATACTTGTATCAGCCTACCATTTGTAGAAAGTGTGAATTCACTGTCAGAACAAATTAGGAATGTTTCTAGGATGCTTGCAAAACACAGAGATTACAATAATTACTTTCTTTAACAAGTGAAAATAACTGTGTTCTGATTCGCACAGCTCACACTGTGACAGTATTTATGTCCAAATTCTGAAGACAGGAAACCACCTGCCGACCAATCTCATGAAATATCTTTAAAGGACACATCATTAAGTGCTTATTTTAACCTTCTTAAAGCTAAATGTTACTGAACGGGCAGAATCACTCCCTAATGACCCAGCCTAGCAGGTATTGTACTGTGTTAAATCAGTGGTTTTTTTCCAAGTGACCAACAAATCAAGCTATCAAGCAAAGCAGGACAGGTACCTTCATGCACTTCAGTTGCCTCTTTGTTCCATTTGAAGAATCCTAAGGAGTTGCAGACATCGTTTACCTGGTTAAGCCGGGTTTGCAAGTACTTGTTGTCACTGCCATGGTGTAAAAAACCTGAAATATACTGACTGATCTAGTTTCAGTGTCTCCTGCTCAAATGTCATCATCTGCTTCTTGATGAGATTTCAGTACAATCGCTATTAATAATTTAGGATACTTTACTAAATTTTATGATCATCTAATTCACATTCAAATTCATGTCTGGGTATAAATTCACAATTTATTCCTATTTTTGTCTTTCCTTACTGGGACAATGTACAAATACGCTTGTGCTCATTTTGTAGTGGTCAACAAGGAGGCATGTAAGGAAAAAAGAGGACTCCTGCTCTAACTGGTAGACAGGGCTCCTTCTGTTATTCAGTTTCATTTATTTGCTGTATTTCTGAAGTGCAAATTAAAGTCATGCTGTTTCCCTGCTTCCTCAGAGAAGCCAAGGATGCACGTATTAATTAAATAATTTAAATATATGTGTAATTTAAAGAACAGCAAGCCCCCTAATTGAGGAATTGGCAAACTTATATACTTGTCCTCCGCAGTCTTTGGAAAGAACACAGAGATGGCAGATCAGCCTAGAGTACCAAACCCTGAAAGATTTGCTGTTGAAATGGTTTTCAAACAGCCCTACATCATCTTCTCCATAGTAAAAATTGTGTGGTTTCTGTGGTATTTCAATGCTTTTGTTTTCCAATTTGGTCTTGATGTTCTGATTTACAAACTGAACTGACTCCTGCCTCCTGGAGGTCCACCCCTGCCATTTCCCATTATCTGATGGCACACTCATTCTCACCAGGGAAGTTCACTGACCTTTGCTATGACCTTATCTGAGCAGAGATCTTTTTTCTCTGCCAGGCTTTCCAACATCCCTTTCTGGCTGCCTGTCCCCCTGCGTTACAGACCAATGCAAAAAGAGGTGTCTGAGTCACAAATTTTATAGCCCATGCCTGATGCTTGATTTATGTCCATCGCTGTCCTCCCAACTTCTCCAAAGTGATGCAAGGCTGAGAGTACATGAGGGCAGCAAAGAGGGCAAAAGGGGAGGTCAGCAATATCTCATGGGTCAGAGAGCAGCTGCAGAAAAGCGAGAGCAGCTGGCAGCTGAGACAGCTGCAGTTTAGGGAGAAAATGGCCACTGAATTTGACATTACTTAATTAAGACAGCACCTTAGCTTGGGTCCCCCCTCCTGGCTTTGCTTCTCTATATTGCAGGAGTGGAGGCTGGGCAGTCCTGCTTTCCCACTGAAGCTCTTGGTAGCTGTCTCCTGTTCAGGCTCAGTGAAGACGCAATTAAATGCCTCTTCGTCTAGCAATGGCTGAAACAATGCAAAAATGCCACCCAGGAGCCAGACCACATGCAAATGTGCACTACTATGGCTTGGCCAGATGGTACAGGCACTTACTGAGTTTCTCATGCCAAATGCAACAGTTATGTAGGTTGTGTGTGTCTGTATATGCGTGCAAAAAAGAGGAATTGCAAAGACATCACAGACACCTCGAAGATGGCCACAAAAGCATTGTCTTAAAAAGTGAATGGAAAACAGATTTAAAGGAAACATTACCCAGAGGAAAGACAAACATGTGCTCAAAGCAAAATAGTCTTACTAAGAGCACAGGAGAAAAAAATATCATTGTAAATATATTTTGTAAATGAACAGAGTTGCATTAAAAGAATACCTGTCTCCACTTTTTCCTCTTTAAGGAAAAATTATGTGGGATTTCAAGTTCTGTCCAATTCTCTAAGTCAAAAGAGGTTGCAATATGTTTTAAGCCCCTAAATCATTCTTTCCCCCTCCATTAGTGCAGTTGGAAACTAAATTACTGAAAGGCCCACTCCAGTCACAATCCAGGCTGCAGCAGCCTTACTCAAAGCTAATTCCAAACAAGCTTTAGCTGTGGTGAAAAGGAAGATGCTGCACATTGTTTTATTTTATTTTGTTTTGATTTGATGGTTCAAGCTGTACTGCCTCTTGCAAAATCTGTGTTAATATAGAGCATCAAATTTGCACTATGATGTAAGAATGGTTCTCTCTGCATTCAAGAACACTTCTAGTATCCAAGAATTTTAGCATTTTCCAATGTATGCATATGAAACTGGTTGTTTTATCATCGGACAAGATCAAAGGGAAACAAGCTGCATCTTTGTAAAAAAAAAAGGTGTTTTTATAAAAAGCATTCCTATTTAACCAGTAAGTTGCACACTTTAAAGAGCAACTCCACTGCTGGAAGTATTTGAAAGAATCCATGCACATGTCTGGAGATGGGAAAAAATTTATTCTTTGCTATGGAAACACAGTAGAAGTCATGGAGTGAAGTTCTGGCCCAATGAATTCAACAGGTATGTTACTGATATCCAAAGAGAATTCACTTAGTTTGTGTCATCAAAGGGCCATAAAAATAGACATAATAGTACTAAAATACGATCAGTGTTTTATTTCCACTTTCAATACCATGGACGATACTGAGTGACATTAAAAATTCTTTTCATTTTCAGGTTGCAAAATCAGATGATCAGATTTTTAATCACATACAACATGGTGATTCTAAAAGTGTTATTTCACTCAAATCAGTGAGATACAGGTATGCAGATCAATTAGAGCTCATACCTACACACATCTGACTTGGATGCCACACTTTGCAGAATGAAGATGTTCCCAGCAACTACCTAAATTCACACCAGAAACAGATAAATCCCTGAAGGATTACTGAAGATGAGATACTTAGCATTTCTTTACTTCAGCTCCTTCTTTTCTTCACTATAAGTTCAAAAGGTGGGATTTTCTGGCTGTATCTGTGATATCTCTTTGCCTTCTACCTTACATTTCCTTTTAGTTCGAAGATTATATCACTTGCAAGGCAGCCACATCACTTCTGAGCATCTTATCTATTATGTGTTTTAGCGACTTGAGAAGATTACAGTAGCTCATAATCCTCTCACTGCTCCTGTAAGTTGTTGGATAACTTCTGATGTCATCTTTAGAGGCTTTTTGTCTCCAAAACTCAACAAATCAAAGAAAAACATATTCCAAACCACAACACGTGCTTGCTTCCCATTTGTGGGGCAGTGAGGTAGGCCATGTTCTGAACTCAGCTGTGTTATATTCATCTAGCTAATTAAACACTTAATAAGCATAGCTGTCTTATAGAGGGCTTCATGCTGTTCTTCCTGCCTTGCATAAGAGAAATGAAATAGCCAAATGCTGTATGATACTGAGTGGTTAACACTCACTCATAGTTCTTAGTAAAATGAAGTTCAAGGCTGTAAAATGTAGGTCTGTACATTTGGCTCATTGAGAATAAAAATACAAAGTTAAACACAGAAGAAGATTAAGAAAAAAAATTATCAGGGAGGAAAACAATTCTGGATGGAGTATCTTTATTTATATTAAGAGACTTAAAGGCAGGATTAAAACAGGCAGTCGAAGAATGTGTGTGGCTGCCAAATAAACAAAGCAATAAGAAATAAGATCCATATGGCAGCATACAAGGCAAATAAATAGGAAGATTTATTAATTACTGTATTTGCATCAAACCCTCTATAAATAATTACCAGAAACCAAATTTTACAAAATAGGTAAAATGAACAGTATGTCACTGGACGCCCCCCCCCCCCAAAAAAAAGCAGCTTCTTCATGTGTTGATGTACTTCCTGAATTTACAAATTTCAGAGATCATGTTCTTGTTTTGCCATCACAATATGTTTTAAAATTATACAGTTGAGGAAGAAATACTTTGTTTTTCAATTTCTGTTTTGTAACTGGGAAAAAGATATGCTCCAGTTCTTTTACTTTGGAAACTGTTACTGTATTTGTTTCATCAAGCAGTATTACAAAAGGTTAAGAACTTAAATATATTTTTGTTGTGTTTTTCTTTATTGAACCCTTTGCCTTTGTAAAGTATTAATCAAATCATAACACTAAAATTAATCCCATGGCTGAGTTTACCTGGTTTAACAGGCTGCCCAGGGGAGTGGTGGAATCACCATTCCTGACAGTGTTCCGAAAAATGTGTGGATGTGACGCGTATGGACATGGTTTAGAGCTGGGCTTGGAAGTGCTGGGTTAACAGTTGGACTCGATGTTCTTAGAGCTCTTTTCCAACCTAAATGATTCTCTGATTCTTTTCTGGAAACAGAGGGCCACAGAGCGCTGTGTTCGGGGGACAAGGGACTACACACCGCTGTGTTCCCGGGACAAGGGACAAAACTGCGGGGCACAAGCAGCTCCGGGGCCCCGCCGTCCGCTCAGCGCGGGCGGGCGGTGTCGTTCCCACAGCCGTCGCCAGAGGGCGCTCCCGCACCCGCCCGCCTCTTCCTGCCCGGCCACAGTGGGAGGGGTTCCCGGCGGCCCCCGCGCTTGACGACTACATTTCCCGGCTGCCACCGCGCCCCAAACGGCCGCCGGGCCCACGTGGCCACCGGGCGGCCAATCGCGTGCGGTCCGGGGCCTTTACCCGCTCCCGCCCCGCCCCGTGGTGCGTCCGCGATCCGAGCGCTCTAAGATGGCGGCGGTGGAGCCGGTGAGTGCCGCGGTCTCTTCTCTCGCCCGCCTTTCCCTTGCCTTCCTCCCACCGCGTCCTTATCCTCTTCCTCCTCGTCGAGGCGCCGCTCCGCCGGCCGCGATGGGCGAGGGCGCGGCGGGCGCCCGGTGGAGCGGGTGGGCGGGCAAGCAGGCAAGCAGGAGGCGGCTGGCCGGGGAGGCCGGCGAGGAGCGCACGCTCGCAGGGGCGGGGGATGGGGCGGCGGGCGCTGTGTCTGTGCTGGCACCGCCGCCTGGGTACGGCGGCCGTGGCTCTAATATGGCCCGGCGGGAGCGGGGCCCGTGGTCCGGCGGCGCCCATTGTGTGGCGCCCCGCCCGCGGCCCCGGCGGCCGCCTGGCGCATGTGGCGCGGTGGAGGTGGCCATGTTGGTTCTCGCCGCCGTGGTGAGCCGGGCAGCTAGGGGCGGCTCCTCCGGCAGCGGGGAAGGGCCGCGCTCCCGACACGATGACGCCCCGGGGAGAGGCCCCGCGGCGAGGGAGCGCGGGGCCGGTAAGTCACAGATGCGCGGCTGGTGAGACTTGCAAACGAAATCGTCTTTTCCAGGTTGTGTCATCTTTTATTCGAGGATTTGGGGATTTTTTTTCAGACCTTTCATGATAATTCAGTACCTTTTTTTTTTCAGGTGATAAGTTGTGTTCATGGTATTATGCTTGATTTTACAAACGTAGCCCCAGCCTGCGCTTCTGTAATGAGCTGGAGCAGCTGGAAGTGATCCAAGTACAGTTGTTATTCTAATCCCACATGATTGTGTATCATCAGGAGAGGACGGCAGAAGACTCTGGGGTTTCAAGAAAACACAGTTAAGGAGGACAGGTCTCTTGCTGGTGTGCTTACCAGCTGTGAATAAATAGCTAGTGTGTTGTTCGGAGAGACTTTGTAACATTTAGACAAAGTGAAAAAAGTTTGAAAATTAGTGGTTTTAAGTAAAAACTAATTTTGCCCTTTTGTGTAAGGGACGCTGACTTTTCCCTTAATGATTTTTTTTCTGTGACCCAAAACCCATATTTTTACCTATGAGGTAGAGATTGAAGTGGGTCAGCATTTATAAATTGTGTGACAGCAATTCTGTACAGGGAGAGTGTCAGCTATTAAGAGTGCAAGACAGCCCACTAGCAGCACTCTTCCCGTGTTCTTCAGCCAGTGTTAAACTCTTGTTTTCACATCTGAAAGCCAATCTTTGAGTTGTTGTCCACATATCTGAAGATGAGCGCTTCCTCTCAGTGTACTGCTTTGTGGAGACTGTGGAGCTTGGCCGGAATTGTGATAAATAATTTGTAATATGGCCATAAGAAATTGAAATTACTCTGAAGGCCTGGGCCTTGTGGCTTTCTTTGCTGTGCTGCTGGCACAAAAATGGTCTTTTCACCTTTTTCTCCGTTAACTCTATCTGCACATTGAGGTAGGTCTGGGCGTAATGTAGCAGAAAATAAACAATTGTCTTTGCTGTGCTGTGTCCCAGCAAGATTGATTTCCCAGATTGAGTTCACCATGAGCAGTTGTGCTGAGCCCCTAAAGGTAGACTCACAACAGTTGAATTAATGCAGTTGTTGAATGTTCTGCTGTAGCTGCAGTATGTTTGCATTCAGGAATCAGCTACCACCCATGCTTGCGTATTTTCAAATTGAAGTAAATTACAAAGTCTTTGTTTATTGTCCTTGTAGGTGGCTCACTTGTCCTACCTAAGCCTAAAGTTAGACTTGTGTAGTGACTGAGGTCAGAGGTGTACAGTGTTGCAGAAATACTGCATGCTTTGCAGCTGAGCAATTTAATTGCATGCGTGGTTAGGGATTACCTCTTGATCATAGGGAGGCCTTTCTGTTGCTCATCTGCAAAATCTGGACCTGGGTTTGTAGAGATGTCATCTGTAATGCTGTCTTGGGAAATGAAAATACAACTGAGTATGGGTTGGTTTTGGGTTTTTTTTAATACAGGCTTCTGCTAAGATCAGTGAAGTTTCTAGTTCTGTCATGGTTTCAAAAGTAAGGTACATTAAAAGTCTTAAGAGGCTTGAAAAATGTTTCAGATGGGAAACAAATATGGAAACTTAAATTTCGCGTTCTGTACAGAGTCCCGTAATAGGTGTCAAAAAAGCAAGATTATTCTAAATAAGTACAGACCAATTGCACAGTCGTTTACTTCTCCACTGTAGGGAAGACTTAAGCCTTTGCAACACTGATAGGTTAAAACTCTCAGTTTTTCTTGTGATGTCTGGGTTTTTCTTTTAAAAATATTCTAGATTAATTTTTGAGAATATGCAGAAGTGTCACCTGTTAGAGTCCTCACTCAGCCTTTGAGGATTAAACATGATCGGGTAATACCATGCAAAAGTTCAACAACAAAACCAGTAGTAATAATGCTTTACTGAAGAGTTGTGTACCAAAGGTGACTTTAAAATGTAGCTGCATAAAGCCCATAACTTCTAGGTGCATATAAATCTAAGCCCTCATTGTGCAAATTGGAAATTGCATCCTGGTTCTTTTATATTTTTGCTTAATGGCAATTATTGTTATAAATGCAATTATTGTAAATTTAACTCTGTTTTTGTAGCAGACAACAATGACATTTCAGTTATGTTATTTGAAAAGTGCTTGTTTGAGAAGGTAATTGTACATAGGTGGGATTCAAAATGTCATTTAAATGAAACTATTATCTCAGGGGGTTACAAACATAGTGGTATAGGACCTTAAAATTCTGGAAAGTTCATAGTAGCTCCTAAAATTCAACGTAGGCTGAAAGGTATTTATTTTGTATTATTTGTGGACGGTTAGCATGTAAGTTTAATTCAGCTTTAGACTTGCTCTTGTTGCTGGTTATTTCTGCTGTAGAACTTGGTGACCTGCTCTGTTTGAAGTCAGTATGGCACTGAACTGCAGTATTGTGAACACAGTTGCTTGCTCATTGCATTTTTCTGAAGTTATGCAGGATAGATGTATCTTTCATGCTGTTTAATAATTGAGAATATCTATCATAAGTTTTTGAATTCTAAATAACATTTCTGAATATGGAGCTTCCTCCAAGAGGAGTATGTTGCACATCTTGTAATTTTTTTGAGATAAAAGCTTTTTTGAAAACAATTTTGAATAATTGCATTTCACACAGCATATAAAATACCAAATTTATTTCAAAGAAATGCATAAAAATAGCATACGTAATCAGCTGTGTTTCATTTACTGGTACTACCCGCAGGTGTGGAGGTATATTGGAGATTTTTTGAGAAAATGTCCCTTTTGGCAGCTTTGTAAAGATTAGTTTGAATTTTGAGGTGATAGAGGGGAGAATTAAATAAGGGATGCAGAGTGCCTGCATCGTGAAAGAGAAATGCAGAGTTTAAATGTGAATTAATGTGACTTTTTCCTCAGATAAATTGTCTTTCACTTTTGAAATATTCTGTAGCTGAGGTTAAACTTGAGTTTAGAAGCTGTTTATTAGCTTGCAGTAGTCCTCATTTCTTGAAGCTTAAAACCCGTTCCTCTATAGGACATTGACATTAGGAAGGTATAAGTGTGCTGTAATATGGGTGTTGTTAGCAGCCTTAAAGTGCCAGTTGTCCTTAGTTCTGTATAGTGGATGTAAGGCAGAAAAGTTTTAACTGTTTAAAAGTTGAGGTTTTTTTCTCTTGTGCTCTGTGCTGTTCATCAGATAACCTGTAGGTATGACATTCTCTGCAATCACTGAGCATACCAGTAGTACATCCAGTACTTTTTCTTTGAAGACCTCTCTCTTGACCATTCATTCTACATTAAATTCTCTTTTGGAGATTGAATGTGTCTTAAATTTTCAGCAGATATAAAATTCTATGCTTTGTTGAACCAGGGGCTCAAGTATACTTGCTAAACATGGAGGTCTTTTGTGTAGGAGTGTTTGGGGAGACTAGAGACTTTCTGTTCTTTGAATCATCTGAACTGGTCTCTCCATCAGTTTTGGGAAGTTTTCTTGTCTGGGTGATTTAGAGCTGACAGAATGTTAAATGTGGAAACTCATCCCGTGGTTGGATTTAGTGTTCCAGTAGCAGAGGCAGCAGTGGAGTGCAGACTGGGGTTAGAGATGTTAGCACAAGGGCAACTTGCTTAGGCAGCAAAAAACGACAAAGATACTGAGGTAGTTTGATATTCCTTGTAAGCTATTTGATAATGCTAGTTAGAAGTTTGTGAGTTAAATGGTGAAAATCTGATTGGTATTTTCAAGTGTATACAACCCATTCAGCAGAAGTCAAGAGAGCTATAAATAGTATTTGTATGTTTTAAATCTGAGATATTTCCTAGAAAACCTTTGATCATGGAGGAAGTGTGTGACTTTTTTTACTTAGTCTTTTATTCTTGTTCTCTTGTATGTATGTTGCACTGCTGTTGTAATTTGAGGGGACGTCATTCAGTTAAATTCAGGTTTCATGTTTGTTTTCTAATCATGATTACCTTTCTAAAGGTCTGTGGTGTTCTAAGTATTGATGAATGCAGTTAGGATAGTTGTTCTCTATTAGGCCTTGCCGTGTCACAAGTAGAAATAATTTTTGTCCCGGTCTCATAATCTAATTCAGACTTTTAAATTGGTAAAGAGTGTTAGTACCACTCTTCCAGTTGCTATTACATGTATTACATAAGATTTTTACCACTATACATTCGTTCCTCAGAGTTGTGTGTCAAATCACTTGGTTTGTTTTTTTACAGGGTGTAATCCTTACTTGTGTGTCTGCTTTAATTTTTTTTTTTTTTTTCTGTCCAGAATATTTTGAAATAAATAGCTCTTGAATTTTTTGCCTTGGAAATTATCCTAACTGTAGTGTCGTAGCAGTTACCGGTAAGACGCCTAAGGACCCGCAGATAGAAATTGTTTTTTCTGAGACATCAGGTTACTGGGGCATGCAGTTTTCTTCTTTTGGAAACCTGAAACAAGAAGATAACTCTGGGAAGTAACTTGTTTTGGTTTAATGCAAGAAGACTTGGGAAGCCTCTTCCACTAATTAGCTCTCTTAGCCTTCACGAAGAGTGCATAATTAGTGCTAGGTTATGTCCTTTTGGGCAGTAATTGTTGCACTCCAACTGGACTTGCTAAACAACTTCTGTAGACAGCCAATGACATGAATATGGTCTGGGCAGCATCTGAAAACCCTTGCTAAAACCTAGTCAAGCTGCTTGTTCTCCTTAATAGACAAACCTGATGAAGCAGTTTTTACTGTAAATGCTCTTTGTTTCCTGTCCCAGTGATGTGCACGCCTTTCTTTGATATGTTGGTCGTTAATGTGCTGTGGAGAAGCAGATTTAATTGGTGTTATTTACTCTAAGTGTCAGAATCCAAGTAATTGCAGATATACAGTCATTAAATGCTGAGTAGGCAAATATTTCATGGACTTCTGCAAGCTGATTCCTACATCAAAAAACATGTGGGTAGTGAATAAATGTCACTTAATTATGTGCTGTTTTGTATATGGGAAGTGGGATTGGCCATGTGAAGCTTTCCAGTTTATCTGGTAATACTACCGTGTTTTATTACTTATATTTTAAAAGCAGCAAGATCAGTGGTTACTTAGTGTGAAGTCAATTTTAGGTTAAAGAATACATTAGTTATGAGCAATGGTAAAGTATTATAAGGGTTTTAAATACAGTAGTCCAGAAACTACGGGTGGAGTCAGTCTGACTTAGGTTAATAGTGTTGAAATTGCAGGGTTTCAAGCTGTGAATTGCTAAAATGTAGACAGTAACATTAATTCACATGGTATTTATGGAATAGGATTGTAGGCAATTTTTTGTAGAATTTCTTGGATACCAGGACTTTACATGGACTTTAAATACCAATTAAGGAACTTACATAGTTTCTATTTGACTAATAATGAAAAATGCTTTGCTATACAAATATTTCATTTTGGTACTCAGAATAGTGTGATAAAGGTAAGATAAAAGGAAATAGGAGCTGATAATGATTAACGAGCCAACAAGTAAAATGGTTCTTTTTCTGTTTTCCTTGATGGCTGTGGGAAATAGAAGGAAGTGAAATTAACCTCCTTTAGGCTGCTCTCTGAGACCAGCCAGAAAGAATGTTTAAGAAGTTCTATTTCCAACTTACATCTGGTGTGTAAACCTGTAGCTATCCTTAATGAGACAGCCTGGTGCTGAACAAAAAGTCTGTTCTGGTGGCACAGTATTTGAGGGGAGTGGCACAGTCCTGGGTCAAGGCCATAGTTAGCTGGGTCTTGGAGCTGAGCTGTCATTTTCTATTTTGGACAGGAGCTTGAATAATGGTTAGTCCGAGTTTAATTAGTTCCATGTAGCTTTCAGAATATCTAATGGGACTTGATATTGTGGTGGCTTAAATAAAATGCTTGTGCTGAGTCAGATGTCTTCTGTCTGTCCAAAAATAGAATCACGTGTAGTTGTGTGAAGGATGTTCATCAGTGTACCGGGCAGGTGTTGAGGCTCATTTCATTTTTCTTTTTGTCTGGACATGCTACCTTAATCCTTCCCAATGTTGTCGTTTGTTAGCAGTTATGAAACAGTTTAGCCCTGCATGTGCTCAGTGGCTTTGTATTGATTCTTCCATTTTATGTAGTTATGATAATTTTGGGAGAGTGATCAGGGAGCCTTTGAGATTAACTCTTCATATGTTGAAAGCTAGTTGCTGAGCAAACATGAGATTCTCAGCTGAAATAGTTTTTGGAAGATACTCTGCATCTGCATTGAACAAGAGTGAGTCTGTTTGACGTTAAAATTCCTAGTGTAATAGCATTTGTAAATCAGTTGTGAATATTAGATGCCACAACTGCAGAGTATTGTGACCAAAAAGCGAGCTTTATCACAAAACCTAGTGCTATTCCCGAATATCAGCAGAATTTTTCTTGTAGGATTATTGTATCTGCACATGTAACTTTTCTCAGTTTTCTGGTTAGAAGCCCCTGAAGGGGCCACACTTAAAATTTAGTTGTCTGTACTTGTTTCTTTGTAATATAATACAGATAATGTGAAGGAGGAAGTATTGAAGTTCTTCCTTGGTGAATTCTACAGCTTTTGCGCACTGTCTTGAATTGTTCAGTGGAATGGTTTTGTGTGATTAAAGTTGAAGGATACAAAAAATAAGTGGGGGTAACACTAGAAATTCTATTCTAGATAGAATTTGAAGAACTTAGTAACTTTTTTTAAGGTCTACTTAGCTCTTTATAGTATTACACTGGAGGAGATGTGACAGATTGTTCAACACTGTTTCTGTGCGTTTCTTAGTGATGATCCCTTTGGGGAATCCTCAGAGTATTTAGTTGTATTAAGAGGAAGGGAAGTGTGTATTGTACTGTGTAAATCAAAGCACTGGCCAAGTGCTCTTGTTAGATCCTGGCATTTCAGTCTCTTTGCTGTGAATGCAGGTACATTTGAGTGTTCTGAAATGTCATGAGCTGTTTTTCTAGGTGGGCTGTTAAATTAAAGCATACTTGATTATTTTCAACCATGAAAGAGTAACTTCTTCAATGTAAAATATAATATAATGCTTAATAATGCTAAATATATTGATAACGAAAAGAAAATCCCTGTTAAGACAGATCTTTAGGTGTTATCCAGAAGAGTGTGCCAGCTTGGTCTGTGAAGATTGAACAGTGTTACCACTTCAAATCCATTCCACTTTTCAACAGCTTTGGTGTGATAAATGTATGCGGAAGCCTGGAGTAAACTTGCATTAATTACATTACTTAACATTACTTAATTCAGTCCCATGTTAATTTGTTCTGTTAAAACCACAAAATTTAAATTAATTTTTAAATACTACTCTTATGTTGCCACATTTGGAAATGTCTAGAGTCTTTGGGTCTGCTGTAGTTAGCTTTTATTTATATTACTCATGTGCTTTTTCTTTCATGGGGTCAGCTGTATAGGCATTTTTGTGTTAGCTCTTGGGAAGGAATTACAGTCCTCATTCTGTGTTTCTGTAATATTCTAGTATGGATTGCAGATTAGGGAGGGATGGTGGTAACTGGCAGGGACACTTGGCCTCACAATAAAGCTTTGTATTCCCTGGTTTGAAGGAAAGGCATTAGAATTTCAAACCTGACATAGTGACTTGTCAAACTGAATTACAAGCCTGAGGGGGTTTACATGCCAAAAGAACATAATTTGCTACTTTATGTTAAAGTATATTTAACATTTCTAGAGCTGTCTCTAGAAGGTTGAAAAAATAACTCTTGAAATCAATCTAATACATACTGAACCAGTAAGTACACTTATCAGTTCTCAAATCTCCAACTGAAATAAGTGTTTAAATTCTACTGTTTTGTTCATGATGATGTTGCAAATACAAAGACAACTATGCACTGACTTGGCTTCTAGCTGCTTGCAGTAGCTGATTTTCGATCCAAGAACTTTAGTTTTATCTTCTACTTGAATTAAGATTTTTTTTTTTTTTTTGCTAAATAACAGCCTGTACACCTGTTTCAAGTGATGCTCTGTCAGAAGCTGATGCAAATAATTTTTGTTCTGAAATTACTACTCTGAATTTATTGTAGATGTGCACATAGACTGTATATTTCTGAAATAGCACTCAAAACTATTTCAGAATTAGACAATATGTATAGTGAACCGTTTTGGAAACAAATTACATAGGAAGAAAATCACTGAACCGCAGAACGTGAATTCCTGAGGTTCATGTTTATTGTAGGATCTGTTCAGATATTGAAGAAAAAAGGGATACAAATTGTGCTTCCATGATGTGATTTGGGCCCCTAACCAAGATAAATTATAGGGACTTTTAGCTTTACCCTTTCTAAAGTAACTTCAGAGACCTAAATTACTTCAATAAAAATTGATAAGGAGTGTATTAATAATAACTCTTTTTTACAAACAGGAAACCACTCCCAACCCCCAACCTGCAGAAGAGGAGAAAACTGAGCCAGCACCTAGTCAGGAGGTTGCCAGCCCTGAACAGTATATCAAACATCCACTACAAAACAGGTAAATGATACCAAAACGTGATTGTAGTTTTGCCAGGGATAGAAAAATGCCTGTGGCTTTGCAGCTCTTACTGACCTTACATTCTCTAGCAGTATTTTGGGAGTTCTCAAGGTTTTTTTTTAAAGATTTTTGCAATCTGATCCAGATGTTAATATTCAGAGTCTTCTTCAGATAGTGCAGTTACAGAAGCTGCAAATCTTTGCAAGTTTTCAAAATGCAGCCAGGTACTCTGAAAGAGCATGGCTTTGCTTTTAGTTGGAGGCAGGCAGAGCTTTTTTTGCTTTTTTTTCTGGTGTATTTTAAGAGGCTGACACTGAGGTGAAGCTGTTGCCCACTGGAACTGGAAGACCTTGTGTTCTGCCTTGTACTTGGGTGAATTAAGGTGCCAGTGGTAAAAAGTTGCAGTTTTTACTACAAGTAAAATTATATGTCAAAGTTAATGAAAAATTCAAGCCCTCTTGCAGCTTCAAAAAGACCAGTTTGGAAGTAATTTTCTCTAAGTGAGCTGATGAGTTACTGTGGAATGCTCAGTACATATTGTTGGGAGGTACCTTTTACCAAGCGATACCTTACTCTTTTTCTAAGTATTGAGCAAGTGTGGAAATGGAAAACAATGCTTCCCTGTAGTGCTGTGGTGCATGTATTCCGTTCTCTTTGTTGTATTTTAGCTTTCATCCTCCCTTTCTTCTAAACCCCTTGATTAAATTGATGCTGACACTTCTTTACAAGTGTAGTGAGGCTATTCTGGAAAGGAATAAACTTTTAAAAGTTTACTGGGTTTGCAGTGTCAGGGCTCAAAACAATAGATTGACACCTAGTGACCTAAGGTTTTCTGCTGAGAGAAGATAAATTTAATCTAGTGCTAACCTGAGTTATTTCAACACTATTGAAATGATCAGAGTGGAAAAGAAAACCCCAACTGTTTGATTAAATGCCTTATGAGGTATCTTCTTCCCATATTTTAAATTGCTACAATGATGCTTTTTAGATTCAGAAAGAGCATATTTATCTGAAAGGTTCAATTTTGTCTTATTTGTACTCTGCAGAGATGATTTTTTCATTTAGTCTTGTCTTTATATAGGTTAATTTTAAAATTTGAAACAATCAATTTATGAAGATTTGAGGTGGTTACCATTAGTAAACTTAATGCAGCTTCCATTTTTAAATTTATGCTTTCCTAGTATGTGAGTGCTTGGGAATCTTCCATGTCATACATAGCTTTGGAGTGATACAATTTGCTTATGTAACCTTTACAGGGAAATTAGTGGCCAGGGAGCCCAGTTTGAATAGTTGGTGTTGTTTTAGACCATTATCAGTTGTTTGTGGTAGGAGATTGCAGTTTAGCAGTGACAGCAAGGAGAAACATCTGAGGCTTAGAGTTTTAAAAGAATTCCAAAGCTATTTAAATATTTTACCTAATGGATTAATAAAACTGCCATGATTCTTGTAATGAAAGCACAAACATTGTTTTTAAAGAATTGATCATGTCGCTTATTGGTGAAAAATGACCTCCATGCTCATAATATATTAAGGTTTGCAATTAGTTTGAATATAACAATAGAAATAATTGCATTTTTAATATACTTTTAATTTCTAGATGTTTTTATTTTATTCTCCTTTAGATGGGCACTCTGGTTTTTTAAAAATGATAAGAGCAAAACTTGGCAAGCAAATCTTCGTCTTATCTCAAAGTTCGATACTGTTGAAGATTTTTGGGCGTAAGTAAAAGTTTTTTTAATCTGCACAATAATTCTGGGATTTGTTGGGAATGCTTACATCCAAGCCAAAAAACCCATAAAGTAACTCCATTAACCGCAAATTCTTGCGTGTAATCTGAAATATTTGCAAAACTCAAGTCTTTTGAAGAAAATGTAAATGGAGAAATTTTTCGTCCTTTCAATGCACGTTGTCTTGCTGCAACACTGCTTATATTCATGTGTACATGACAGACATGTAGAACATTTAATTTGTGCAGTAGCTCTCTCATAGTAACATGAACTTGTAAATTCTGGTGGCCAACTATTGCCACTTCCATGGCCCCACATCTTCCTCCTTGATTAAACTGACTGCTGGCTTATGTCACAAGATCAAGTGTGCCTGAATCTGGAACGTAGTACTTGAGATTCATGCAGATTAATAGCATCCTTGAAAAAAAAATCATTAGTGGTTGCAAAAGAAATTACCGTCATTGTAAATTGAAGGTCTGTGAGAGTGGTTAGGCTCCAACAGCAATGCAAAGCCTTTGAAGGTGGGCCTGTGCTTTCCGAACACTTTCTTCAGTCAAGATTTTGATTGCCATAATGCTGAAACATGGAAAAAATGCAAGTCCTGTGAAATTGAAAATGGAAAAAAAAGTGTTACGTATTTGATCTTAGTGTTTCATGCTACATTGAGTGGTAGGGTTCTTATTTTTGTTGCATACTTTTATTTGGATGGGATCCCCATGGAGCAAGATGGGGTCTGAGTGTAGTAATAGGGACCCATCAGTGACCCATTAGCACCGGAAGGAAAAGTGCTTCAGCGTTTTCACTAACTTTATTGGTGCAGTCCTGGAAGGGGAATGGATTCTGGGCATGTTACCAGCTTTCCCATTCCTACTGTGGGGGTCACTGCGAACTCTGGTTCACTCAGCTGACAGTGGTGGAGTATGTGATGGGCAGCTGAATTGTTTGAAGCTTGCTACTAAAGTTGGTTTAGGGTGAGTTTTTGAGCTTCTGTAACCGAGAGAATTTTGGTAATTAAGAAGTGCTTAATCTAGATGTCTGCAGTGAAGGTATAAAATCAGCCACCAGCAGTTAAGTTACACCTCCTTTGTAGTTGGAGTGGGAAATGAGCGTGTTGTTTTGGAGAGAAAATTTCAGTGTCAAGGTGAACTTAAGAGGCAAACTGTTAAATTTGTAACTAGTGTTATGAATTCCTGTGTGTGATTTCTCACTGTTAGAGCAGCACAGTAATAAGTTTTCTTTTTGATGCTGAACTGTGCCTCAATATGAGTTGGTCTTGGGCTACAGGTTGCTATAATAGGTGCAGTCCTCTTTTTGAAGTCTTGGCCTAACAGTGCAGAGGTGAAAAAAGGCATCTATCTCCTTGTTTGAGGAGGAGACACTATGTACTCCTTTGATTGTTTTTCTGAATTGCACAGTTGCAAATTTAATTCTGAATATATATTTTGTCTGTCACCTGTTCTTGCCTTTTGATTTTCAATTACCAGGCCTACAGCATTCTAGATACCCAGATTACTGTATCAGATAGCAAGGTTGAGCATTTCTCCTAAAAAACACTCTCAGCAGTGAGAATAGCCCTGGAAATAGAAAGTTATCCTTATTTCATCAATGTATAGAATACATATGGACACAGAACCTGTTGCCATGAAAGCTCAGTGAGTTATGTTCCTAATAACTTTGAACTTGAGTTCTAAGCGTTAGAACTAGGTCTAAAAGAAGCATTGGAAATTAGTTTAAAAACAATTGTGGTGTTTCTATATCATTCTGCTGCTTTAAGCCTAGAACATCTTAATACTGATATTCTTATATTGTTAAAAATACTTAAGAAGTAGGGTTGTTACTGAAATGACTTTATTGCCCCTTAATTTTTGCGCTTTGTTTGGTCATATGTTTTAAATTCTTTAAGAATTTTGTTCCTTAAAAGAATGCTTAGTTTCTAATCCTGCTTTTTTTCCCTCCAATAGTTTATACAACCATATCCAGCTCTCTAGTAATTTAATGCCTGGTTGCGACTACTCGCTCTTTAAGGTAGGCTTGCTAACATTTTTCTTTAGTTAAGGGTGTTGATGGATGGTTTCCTGACTAAGCAAGACACTGTCCAAATATTTCACTTAGGACGTTTAGGAACACAGTTGGGAATGTCATAACAGTTTTCATTTTTTTTGAGGGAATCCCAAACAGGTGCTGTCTGAAAATCAGGTTGTCACAACTTGTGAAATTGCAAGCACTTTAACACATATCACAGACAGTAGATTTTAATCTGTGACTCTATTAGTCTTCATTCTACATTTGAGATATTTGTGCAAACAATTAAGTGTAAATTTTTCTAATGTAAAACATTTCACTTGATGTGAAATGAATCAAGATGTCTGTGGGAGGCAGCAATGTTGCCAGTTATTCCTTATGGGTACTACTAGCCAGATACGCAGTACTCCTATTAATTTTTCTACTAACAGTTAAATGCTGTATCAATTAAGCATGAAATAGAAAACTGCACACAACGTGGACAATTAGAACATGATGAGGAAGTGTCCAGACTAGTGAATAGGAAATGCTGATAGGAAAGTGTACATGAAAAATGCCTCAGCTAGGGTGGAAATATAAATTGGGGCTCTAAGCTAGATCCTAACCTCGTGGTAGTGCTTGATCATGCACCTTCCTTTCTGGATTCCAGCACCTAAATAGTCCTTGAAGTGCTGGTGCCTGTTTCCTCCTTGGCTCATAAAATGTAGCCACAGGCTGGGCCTTCTCAGCAGGCTGTGTGCACCATTTCTAGACCCAGCAGCTTTATGCAGTGAAGAGGTGATGCTGCTTGGGTTTGGGAAGGTAATGGTATTCCAGGTGACTGAGAAACCTTACTAGAATTTTAAGAAGCTGTAGGCCCTTCAGAGATTTGGGTATCTATGGATAATGCTTCTATTTTTTTGCATGAATCCTCAACTTGTGTTTTAAGTACATGTACCTATTCTGCGTTTGCTTGTCATCAAGTGGTAATAATTATGTAACTTCATGGAACAGGTATAGAATTGGCAACTGTTTTAGGCTTCTGGACAATCTCTTACTGCTCTCCTTTGGTTGTGACCTGTTAAGAGGTCCTCTTAAAGGTGATGAAGTAGTTTAAGCTCTGCAGCTGCCAGTAAGGGTGTTATATTTAAAGTGAGATGACACCACTCCATCCTGCATGTTGATTACTTGGTTTTCAGCCATAAGTCCTGTAGTGCAATTCTTAGTGGACAATTCTTAACAGAACTCCTCTGTTTCATTTTTTAATGACTTTCTGAAGTGCAGTATAGCTGGTTGAGCTGGGAGTAGTAGCTGGCTGCTTTGCTGTATCAGCACATGCAGAATCCTTTAATTCAATGCAGGGTCACTGGCAAAATGTGAATAAGATCTTGTTTGGAAAGGGTATCTGGATTTTTTTTTTTTTTTTTCCCTCCCCAACAATGAAAACCCTCTTATTTTCACCTTGTGTGTGAAGGAAGTTGTTGAGAGACTGCCAAAGGTGTCTGTTTCAGTGAAAAATCTGTATGCATAAGTGAAGCACTTGGCTGATCTTGCACTGAGTGCAAGACATAAAATAAGGATTCCAGATAAAATTAGCAGCTATGTTCTGGTTTCATGCAGGGCAAAGCAAGTGGTAGTCTTTGCCTGTTGCCTCAGGATTTTTTTTAAATGTAATATGTAGCTAAGACTTTTGTTTTGCCTGGACTGTGATATTTCTGTAGAACTAAAAATTCATTAGTGTTTAATGTTGGTGTGAGACAGTATTTCTGGACATTCTTGTATGTATCTTCAACTGCACACTTCTTTCTTAATTTACTTTTCCAGTTACCACTGGCCTCTTGGTGGCTCTTCAGGAAAAATAAGAAATGGAGTCTGATTTAACTTGTGGCCTTTCTTTGCAGGATGGGATTGAGCCCATGTGGGAAGATGAAAAAAACAAGCGAGGAGGCCGATGGCTAATCACACTAAACAAGCAGCAGAGACGAAGTGACCTTGATCGCTTCTGGCTAGAGACAGTAAGCACCAGTGGCAGCTGAGAAGTCATGTTTGTGTGAAAATGTATTTAACTGATTTGGTATTTGTGTGCTACACTGTTCTAACTTCTTGGCAGCAGTGTCCTGTAGGGTTTTATTGACAGGCTGTATTTGAAGTGTTTTTTCAATAGTGATCCTTCATGTGGGTGTATTCTGTTTAATACTTCCTTGTAACAGGCAGCAACAGGGAGAGTTCTGCAGGACAGATGAAGCTTTTGAAGAACATTACTGTTGAACTGCTGTGAAAATAATACATTGTCTTGAGTGCAACTTGCTGATTCAATTGATAAAAAAATTTGTATTACAAATACTTTTTTAAAAAGTGAATAGTTTGCAGGTTTTGGCTTTGTTGAACAAGAGACATTCAGTTTTTTTTTTTCTGTGTTTATCTTAATACTGGGATAGGCAATAATAGCACATTCATCCTGTATGTAAACACCATAGAAATACTTTTTTTTCATTGCTGTTATCTCTTTGGAATAGAATGGAATGGTAAATATATTTCTAGTGTGGATGGCAGTAAATGTATTAGAGAAAATTGTGTTGTCTAGGAACTGAGACAGAATAGCCTAAGACAGTCTAGTGCGATCTGGGATTTAGGGACATGGATTGCAGACAGGACAATGCACAGCAGTCTTGGCAAATCTTTAAACTTTTGTCCTTGTTTTTGAGAGAGGCAAGGAGTATTGCACCCCTTTGAAAGGGAGAACTGGCGTTCAGAATCAAAGCAGAGGTGTCCAAAATGTTAGAACTTCCAGGATCTTTGTAGTTACTGTAGTTAGGATTTGAAGAGAGCATTACAGTACTGGGCAGTGTGAGTGCACGTGAGCAAATGAACATCCTGCTGCATATACTTGGCCTAATGTATGTGTGAGTCCTGACTGCTAGTAGCCGTGACATACAGCTTGGAAATATGTCAATAGACTATGTAAACTGAAAGCTAGAGGGCTCTGCTTTTTGCTTAGCAGTGAGCAATGACACAGAGCCTAAATACCCAGGTGACTGTGATACGTGCCCTAAAACAACCCTGTCACCTCTGATTCCAGTAATTATATGTAACCAATTTTCTGCAGTAGAAATCAAAGCCTTTATAACTCCACTTTGGAACAAATTTTTATTACAATGATCTTAACAGTAAACTACACTTCATTTGAGAAGACATTTTTTTCCCTGTTGTGCAACATTCTTGAAAAATGTACCTGAGTAGTGTTTATTAAACATGGTAGCCATCTTTGCTTGTATGTGAACTAAGACAGTTGTTTGGTATTTTGCATGTTTGTGTGTGGTTTGGCCTTAGCTGTTTATAGCTTGAATTACTCAGTGATTGTGTGCAGTCTGCAGTTGGATGTAATGTTGAAAGCATGTCTTGTTATACCCGATTTATTCATTAGGACACTTTGTCCTTTTTGTATTTCCTCGAGTAAGCCAGCCTTTCTGAGTCTGATGGGTGCTGGAAGCCATGCTTTGTTTGAAAAGTTGCAGACATGTTGAATTTCCAAATGTCATAAGTGATACTAGAAAACTGATACAACAGCAGTGTATTTAATATACTCTAGAAGTGAAGGAAACAAGTATTCATTGTGCAGAAAGATTTTTAATTTTTAATTTAGCATAGTCTAGGTGAATCTGTCTCAAGCATAAGAAACCATTAGTTTTGAATGTCAGAATTGCTTATTTGACAAGTTGCAAGCTGAAGATTTTAAATACCACTTTCACAGTTAGCATGTTGCACAGGGCTGTGACCCTGCTCAGTCTGATGTTCCTGGCCAATTCCAAGCTCCACTGCTAGAAACTTGGGAGGAAGAATCTTGTGTTATTGGTGCATTATGTTAAACCCTCCCAGCTGAGGATCACTGATGTCCACTTTAGAGTTTATGGAAATCATGTGTTGATAGGAAGTAACGTTTCATTGGATAGCATTTACCATCTGTCTGTGGTAAGATATACCTCTAAATTGATGGATTTCAGGATTGAAGTTAAATCTTATGTACCTGATGTTGTGGAAATAGTTCCTAACAGGTTTTTCCCAGATAATGGATGGAAACACCTAAAATTTTAGATAGACCAATCTTTAAATGTTCTCTAGAAAGAAGATCACAGTGCTTTAATTCTTCTCTTGTTTTGGATTTGGAAGATGGGGTGGAAGGTAGCACTGTGGATATGATCTGCTGTGTCAGAACTTGTAGCAGGTGGCAGAGGAACAGGAATGGAAAATTCAGAATAGAAGGAGGATGCCCTACTAGAGTATGTTCACTTGTAATATTTGGAACTTCAAGAAGACACTGCAATAAATAGAAAATGATTGTTGTATGGCAAGTGGCTGTAGGCAGTAAAATGTGTTCCTCAGTCCTTGCCTACAGAACAGGAGTCTGACTCTGAACTTTCTCTTCCACAGCTGCTGTGCCTTATTGGGGAGTCATTTGATGACTACAGTGATGATGTGTGCGGTGCTGTTGTTAATGTTAGAACTAAGGGTGATAAAATCGCAATATGGACAACTGAATGTGAAAACAAGGATGCTGTTACGCATATAGGGTAAGTAGTGGGATTGGAGCCTCTGCTGTATGAAGTGTATCCATGCGTGTAAAGGCGGCTGGCGAGATGGAGGCATTTCAGGCAAGTGGAGCCTGTGCAGAGCTGGATCCCCAGCTTAAGTAACTGTGCCAAATTGTGTTCAAGTCTTCATTTCTAAACTACAGTGAAGGTAGTGCAGCACTATAGTGTAGTTACTAACATAAGCCTATCCACAAATCTTGGCAAAAATTCTCATTTCACAATGAGGCATTGTAATTAACAACTGCAGGTAATGTGCAATCTGTTCCAGCCTGTCAGTTTGTAAAGGTGGGTAGTCAGTAAGAGTAAAGCATTGATGAGAGTATTTTTTTTTCTAGGAAAGTGATGCTTGCAAATAGGATAGGTGCTGCAAGTCTTAAGCATAGGATGTATTTAAATCTGAAAAAAAAAAGCTGTATAGTGGTGTGCTGTGGAGCTCTACAGGTGTTTTCCTGCATTTTGCCTCTGTTTAGGTACAGATGAAACAATGCTGAGATTCATGGGCTATTTGACCTGTGTACTAGCATACTGTAGACTTTAAGTAAGCAACAGTAGTTAGCTCTGATTATGAATCAGTTACCTCTGATTATGCTATGGAAAATGCATGTTCTGCTTTAGTGTGTAGCAAGTATTACTGATTACACAGTTACTATTTGCATCAATATGTGATTACAGTTACTAGTTACACAAGTATTTATTGGATTCTGTAGTACTGATGTTTTGGAATAACTTGCTGTTAAATTTGTCATTGTAGGCCATTTACCTTATGCAAACCAATGAAAATATTTATCTTCCTGGCTTAGTGCATCTGTCTTAAGCCAAAATTGAACTGTCAAACATAGCAGCCTACTTTTTTCACTACCTGATGACTCTTTTGGCACATGCCTTTTTTGGGCCTTTAAGAGTATGTGTCTCCCTTCTACTAACATTTTTATTATACAGTCATATTTTTAGGCTTCAGTGATAAGTGTTTAATAATAAACAAGCAAAACTGTGGTATTCATCTTCTGTTACCAGAATGTTGCAATAAACTTAATAAGCATCAGACAGCATTTTAGAATGGTATTAACCATTAACTAAAGAGTTGACTCCTTTAGAAAACTGTGGAAAAAGTACTGACACAAAGACCAAGGTAAGTTATGTTGCCCTAACTCCAGACAGGAGTGGCCATTAGTGACTTGCATCTCCCTCTGTGCTAAGGAATGCTATGTGTGTGTTTGTGTCTTAAGGCAGGTACTGCTGCTTCTTTCTCTTAAAATACAAGATCCAAGCTGATTTTTCTTAAAGCTTCTGTAGGGTAAGGTGCTTGTGACCAGGTCTATGGGGCTCTGCTTTCTGTCAGTAGTTAAAGCGCTCTGCAGCCACGATGTGTGGGGTGATTAAAACTGACTGTTCCAGGGAATTGCTGTTTACTTTGGTTCAGGTGACTTTATCATCTCAGTAGTTCTGGAATTGTGAACCATGAGTTCTTCATAGCCATTTTGTTTCTGTGTGTAGAAGTGCAGCTTTCTGGTATTAATGATACTCACATTAATGCAGTATAGAGTCCCTGCATTTTGCATTTATTTAGGCCTGTTAATTATTTTTTGCAAGAGCTTCTATTATATGTGGTAAGTCATTTTACAAAACTGCAAGTGGGTTTTAGATGCAATACACTAGAAAAATCCTATTTCAAGTCCTTTATTCATATTTGAGAAATTGTTTCTAAATAGGCAGCTCTTTTATGGTGTCCACAGATCTTAAAAGCAGGTGTCCTGATAGTAATTTCTTCCTAGGGACTTTGTTTAAACTGTTGTTTTATTTCTTTTCCTCTCCAGGAGAGTATACAAGGAAAGATTAGGACTTCCTCCAAAGATAGTCATTGGTTATCAGTCCCATGCAGACACAGCTACTAAGAGCGGCTCCACCACTAAAAATAGGTTTGTTGTTTAAGACGACACCTTCTGAGTATTCTTTCATAGGAGACTGCGTCAAGCAATCGAGATTGGGAGCTGAACCAAAGCCTCTTCAAAAGCAGAGTGGACTACATTTAAATTAGATTTCCATCTAAATGTTGCTAAGATTTGTGAGAAGTCTCATTTGCCTTTGTCTTGTACTTCTATGTTCAATTTTTCTATTTTGGCTGAAGTAACCGTTACCAATTCGAATTTTAGTACACTTCGCCCCCCCAAATCCATAAGTGTGTTTCTGGCCCACTCTATAATAGCTTGGTAGAAACATTACTATTGCAAAACATAATTTGTTTATCCAAAGTATTCAGAAAAGTTGCATTTCTGTACCTGCAGGAAATTACTCTGTTTTACATTTGCATTGTATGCAGTAAGATTTTGCTGGTTTGGAAAGAGTATGGTGCATACAGTTTTCTAGCAATTTTTTTATACAGCATCATCTTTGCTGTAACCTCTGCTGATGGCTGCTAGATTAATTTATTTGTTTTCCCTATTTGATAACATTAGTGGTATTTTGATTTCAGTTGTTTTTGCTCATGTAACATTTGGTGAAGAATCTGGGAATATGACAAAGGTGGAATAAACGTTAATTTTGTGCATTCTTTGGTAATTTTTTGGTTTTTTTGTAACATCAAAGCTTTGCTACAGATTTATGCATTTCAGTCAAATCAGTGATCTTTTTGTGTGATTTCCTGAACATAAATGTGGAGGTTTTTTTTAAATGTAACACCGTAATTTACATTCCTTACTAGAAATAGTATGTCTGTTTTTTGTATCTTATGCTGTATTTTAACACTTTGTATTACTTAGGTTATTTTGCTTTGGTTAAAATGGCTCAAGTAGAAAAGCGGTCCCATTCATACTAAGACAGTGTACAAAACTGTAAATAAAATGTGTACAGTGAATTGTCTTTTAGACAACTAGATTTGTCCTTTTATTTCTCCATCTATACAGCAAGTATTTGTACCTCTTTGTGACAAGGCAGTCTCTACTGTGGCTTGTATTGTAGTGTCTTCCAAGAAAGATAAAGTCTGGAGCTATAGTCTGAAACTGTTAATAAACCTATTAGATAGCACCCTAAATCAAAGTGGAATTATATCAATGTGGCTACTGTTCTTTCTTAGTGGTTGGTCTAATTGATCATGGTTTGTGTTGCTTCTCTTTTGACTTCTGTTTTATGCCCAACCAAGAATTTCAAGGGTACACAGAAAGTTAAGTTTCAGGTAGGAGCTACAGTACAAGTGCTTTAGTGAGTGATTCTGCTCTGAGGATGAAATGCATAAAGTACAAGTAGAGCATACCAGAGACAGGGCTACAAATAAAAATGAGGATCTAGATAGCAAGCTATTACATATGTCTGGCTAATTGAAGCTTTGTTTCATTGTTTGGAAGTTACTCCAGGAGAGCTGTAAGGTTACTTGGAAGCTCACAGGATGGAGGAGATTTTGAGGGTCAAATTCACTTATTTTGAGCAAAACAGGAGAGGCTTTTTCTTTCCACCTCTTAAAGCAAAGCATGCAGCAAAATCAGTGCTTTATTGGTGATTTCTTGTTTTGTTTTTTTAAGTGTGCGATGTACTTAAAGGTGTTGCCAGGGCTATGGAGCCTTTCTTCAGCTAAGTGTCAAGGCAGGTGCTTATTGCAGTTTTGATCTTTGTGCTAACTTATTAAAGCAAGTTTAGTCCCTGGCAGTGAAGCTTCGGTTGAATTTGCTTGATGAAGGCACTGAAGTGTCTGTGTGCTGAAATAGACTTGAATGCTTTTCTTGCACATTTGATCAGAAATGTGTCATAATGAGCATATCAGACTATGCCAAAAATGTCTGTATCATTATTACAGCTGTTTAATAGAAACACTTAGAATAGACATATCTATCTAAAGATACTATGCCTTCAATATTGGTTATTAACCAGGATAGCTGGTGAATGCAGAGAGCTGTCAAGGCTGTTTGTGTGCTGGTTTCTGTGGATTCCTGTGTAACTGGTTGCCTGTCTTGATTCAGCTGGTGTGCAGAGCAAGTCAGGTTTGTTTAATAGGTTCATTGATAAAGAATATGGCAGTCCATGCCTGTTTTCCAGCTAATCATCAGTAATGCTTGCATGCATAGGAATGTGAAGATGAATCAGCCTCCCGAGTGGTGACTGTGTGTGTGTAATTTGGGAGCATGGTGGCCAGGCTCCCTCAAAGGAGTTTCACTGGAAACAGTGGTAGTGCTGCCTTTCTGTAAAGAGCATTGAGATTAACCTGAGTGCTGTTGTGAGAACTATATAGTGTTGGATTTACTCATTTCACTACAAGACTGACGAGAGTATTATTTAGGGTAGCAGCATTTATTCATCTAGAAAAGCAATTGCTAGTTTTTTTTTGTATGGCCTCAGGTTTTTGAGCCTGAACCTATTGGAAGCAGCCAGCTAATATGCACTGTAGTATGAAAACTGGAGGCAGGTTGATTTGAGACTTTGCTGCTAACACAACAATTGCAGTGTTTCTAGAAGACTTGAGAGGAAATTAGCTGACATGGTTGCTTTATCAAACATACAGCCTATGCCTTTAATTCATTTTTAGAGGAAGCAAATGACCATGAACCTTGTTTTCTCCAGCTTGCAAATCACTTTGTACTGCATACTAATGTTCTTCTGATTATAATGGTGTAGTTTGTATTTGTGTGCTAAGGGAGAAAGCTGAGAGCTCTCCATTCTGCATATTAATATAACAGCCACAGGCTCAGGAGAGGATAAAGCAGTAAATGTTCAAGTATCTTGTATTGATGCAGAATATTTAGTGTCATTAAACTCCCAGCTAAAGGGGTGGCTGTTGTCAATGTGTGGTTTTAGTAAGCCTGGGAAGACTACAGAGTAAGTATCTAAAGCATCTTTTTAGAAGTGGGGTTATGTGCAGCAGAGCAAAGAAAGCAGAAATTGCTGTGCTAGAAGAGGTGTAAGAACGTGCCAAAATACAGCCTGTGAAGATGGGGCAATAGATGAGGAATATATGTGAGTTGTCAGTTTCTGGGTATAATGTTAAGTCTTGGGCTGTGCAATGTTTTTCATTGTCACTTCTGTTTGTCTTGCTTCGATGTTACTGTGTTATGTATCAAGTTGTCTCTAGCTCAGGAAACTTATCTTAAATGCTACCCAAATTCTGGAAACTTGCAGTGATGGCTTTTAGCCAAGCTAGGAGCAAGCTCAAAGCTTCCATCCTTCCTAATGGAATCCTTTATTACTAAATTGCTTGAAAAAATACTCTGGTCTCCATTCTGGGACTCTTACTAAATGCAAAAAAAAAAAGCCTAAAACATTACATTTTAGTCTCTGAAAGTGACATAGATCTTCCCTTTGTGTGACCTTCCATGTTTCCAAGAAGCTTTATTTTTGAGTCTTGGCCTGATGGTTTTAAAACTAGTTTTTAAGATCGTCCTGCATTCATGTAACTGTCTACCAGACAGTTAAGCTTGATAGTTAAAACCATAAATCTTTCAGGCTGCCTGGCACTTAACTTTTAGAAGACTTTGCCCTCTTAAAAAGTCAGTGGTTTCTGCAAAATTTTTTGTGAATAGGTTTTACTTAGGTCTTAAAATACGGGGTTTTTTAATGCAGAATTTGTGCCTTTTCCCATTGGGTAAGAAGCAGGCAAATGGAAATGACATGACCAAGAAGGAAATAGATATAACTATTTCGTTCTGAGACATTTCATACCTGTCCATCTAAATTCTTTGGAGGGCAGAAGTGCAGAGTGCATTAGCAGGTGATGTGGAACCAGTCCTGTGGAAGGCACCTACTGCACCTTTGCATCATTGCTTCAGAGCTCCAGGAGCTGTTCAATCCCAAAGGCTTGCCGTTTTTGATCTTTGTGGGACACCCATTCACTGCAGTTGCTTGAACAGATTTTCTGCCTTTTAGCTCTTAGTTTTGTATTCTGACAGAATTTTTCAGGTGTCTAGCTCTGGCACTGCAGCAACTCCTTTAATAAGCACTTAAATTCCTTCCCCTGTCATAAAAACCATGGTCACTTTTCCTCTTGCCTGGTGGCTGCCTGGCGCTTTCTCAGAAGACTCTGGGATTCCCTCCTGGCCTTTTTATTTTGAAATAAAGCAGGTTCTGATGTCCAGAGCTAAACGTGAATTATGGCTGTGCACATGATGATTGTTATGCTTCACAGCATTAACTTGTCATTGTGTGTGATGCCTTACATGTAAAAACATCCTAGCTGAAGTCTGCCTGTTGGTATGTTTGCCTGCTAACCAAACATAACTCAGATTTTTTTTTTTTTTTTTAATTCCCTGCTAGTACTGAGCATGTGACAAGCTTAGCTGTGAATTTATGAATTTTATGACTGCGTGGGGTTTATGACTGCCTATGCTTTTCTCTCCATTTTTCTAAATCCTGATGCTTTTCAAGCCTTACTAAAACATGTTTAATAAAGGGAAAAATTACACTGAGTCTAGTCACTGCTTTTTTAGTTACTGTGATACCGTGGAGAAATCCAGGTGTTGCTAAACCCAGATAAAGACTGTGTGTGACTTCTTTGGCATAATAATCTGCTTACGGGATTTCATTTTTTTATCTCTAGCCATGTAAGTATGATAATAGTGAAAATGATACTTGAAAGTGTGTGTGAATATACCGTATGTATAGCAAAAATTACTCATCTATTTTTTCAAAGTAGAAAATGGTTTTGTTATTTCTAAAAGGTTTCTTTGACTTTCTGTAATGAATATTGGATTTTGCTTACAATAGCTAGTTTAGATCAATCTTTTTTCCTATGTTGTGCCTATTATTGTTATCAAAGAGTTGGAACCAACCTCATAGGTAAGGTTTAGCATTCTTTGAAGTAAAGCTAGTTTTTGAGCCTTATCTTCCTCTGTATGTACAGGATAGTTTATCCTAGTGCATCTTGCCCTGAGCCGTACAAATACGCAGAAAATATAATGGGAAATGGGAAGGTACTATTTTATTTCTGTAGTTTGAATGAAAATAAAGTTTCTGAGGAATTAATGTCTCAGCTTCTTGACTCTGTATGGGATGTAGAAAAATGCAGATCAAACATAATTGAGTATGGAACTACTTTGAAACTTGTATTTGCTCTTTGGTTTGGAGCTTGTGTGTTGCTGGGGCTCCTGCAGCTCACCCACACACCAGCCTTGTTCTAAACAAAACTGGTGTAACATGATTGCAAAATCACTGCTCTTGTTTTTACCAGTTTCTTCAGTAGGAAGGAGTAGCCTAAATATGGTGTAGTGGATCAACTGGCAGGAAAGTGCAGCCGAACCCTTATGGGAGCTCCTCTAGTGCCACTGCAGTGATATCAAACAACTGCAGACAGCGCCAAGAAGTTGCAGGAGGGATTTGGTCTGCCTGTGCTGTCCACTGGGGGCTTCAGTGCCAGAAAGAAACTGTGTGTTATCACTATATAGCTGTGCACTTCAGTGCCAGAGAGCTTTTCTGATACAAGAGTAAATGTTTGATGTGACTGTAAATGGACCTCACTACGTGGCCTCAGTTTGTATTGAGTGTTTGAAGTGGGAGTCCTCCTGCACAGTGAGGAAATGGTGACACCAAAGTCCAGAGGTGGGGATGCTGCTTTGGAGTTTCCCTGGGCCTGGAAAATTCATCGTTCAGTACATTCCCTAAAAGCAAGGGAGAAATTGGCAGGCTGATGTGTGGGGACAGATGCATCCCAGATGATTTGGGTAAAAAAAGAAAAAAGCTTAGGTTCCTTAAGTGCTTATTGCTTCTTCAGTAGAGGTAGCTTCCCTGTACCCACCAGGTGGAGGGGTGGCCAGGGGGAGGTGGGCATCAAGGGCAGAACTGAGGTCTGATTATTTTTTTTTCCACCTCAGGCCATGAGGGTTTTTCAAAAGTCATTTGGGAAGAAATAAAACTTGGCAACCAGATTCAAGCACTGATACCCTTATGGAATTTTAAGGTAAATTCTCCCTTCAAGGTTCTGGTATTCTTTAATTATGGCAAAAGTAACCCCAGACTCTCAGTATTGCTTAAAGTTTGTGAGTGTGACAAGGCCATGAGTGTCTCTTTTTGTCTTCATTGAACTGGTGCTTTGCCAATGTTTTGTGGGGGTTGTAACAGTGGTGCAG